TGCGGCACTTATTAATTTTTTTAAAGGCCGACATCATTCTATCTACAGAACTTCGATATCAACTATTACAAGTACTTTTAGAGGTTGTGGAGGTTTGATGCTAGATGCTGCACCTAAACAATCGTAGTTCAGCAGCGTCGTATTCTGAAAGTGTCCCCAACCTAGTTTGGGAAAAGGTACTGAGGATGATGACTTTTTAGTGTTACTAAAATAATTCAGACTTCAATCTTGATCGCACCAAGTAATTTTTCTTCAAAGTATGTATGTGTATTGACTTATTTTGTTGCAGGAGCATTCACTTTTTGAATTTTCGGTTTTTAATTCATGTAATAAAAAATTTCACTCAGCTTGGCATGCACCACTTTCGTCTTCTGCATCACTTTACCGATCAGGTAAGTTAAAAACCGACGTACATTCCATTTGAGCAATACTTAGAAAATATAATCACCAAAGTCGTGTTGTATTCTATTTACTAGGAACAAATTATATCTTTCAATCAACTCTGTACTGCACAGATGAAAATCACTAGGTACCCTGACGTACTTCGGGCGAAGTACGGCGAGTAGATGACCCCCTCCTGTGTGGGAACCTCCATGTTCCCATTGTTCCCGAGAGGGCGCGCGCGCTCCGCAACGCGTCTCGCTGCCACCCTGGTCTGGGCTTCTGCTAGGGTGACAGATGCCCTCACCTGTCGACGGAGGACGCAGGTTGAGTCTCCGGCACCTGAGTCGTCTGCGCTACCTGTCCCGTTCCCGAGCCTGGCGGGCCGGGAGAGTTCTAAACCTCTCCCGGTCCCGCTCCGCCATCTCCTTCGCAAGCATAACTTGCTCGCAAAATCACGCACTCTCGCTGTTATCGAACGAGAGAACTCCCACTACGATGGCCACCACGGTGTCACGCCTCTGCTCCACCAACGCCGGGCATACTACCGGCCATCGCAGTAGTGGCACTCAGGCGTTGTCTCCTTGTGGACCAGACACAGGTGATCCCCGAAGAGTCCTTTCCTAATGATCACCTGCGTCAGCCGGTATGAGAGGGTCCCGTGGCGCCTCTCGAGCCAATCCTCCGTAAGGAGTCTTACCGGCGCCATTACGTCGTCCCTAGTGCTCGTTTGCCCAAGTCGTTCCTTACACTCCTCTACGGACCTGGTGGAGTTGATATTTCTGGTCATCGATTTCTCGATTATTAGGACTCGGACCTAACTCCCGCGCCTCTTTGCGCAACTGATACAAAGCCGCAAGGGCTCTCGCCTCCAGGTCCCACAGTTGAGTTCCAGCCAGGAGCCACCCCCTTATGACCCTGATGGCCACCATTCGCTGCGATCGTCGGCCATGGGCCACACAACCCCCGAGTAGAGGTCTCCTTATGTTGGACAGCACGCGCTGCTCCAACCAACTTGGGGACCAGAGCTCGGAAATGATATCCGAAGTCCCATCGGCCATCGAGTACGAGCCCCAGATACCGAGGGCTCGATGCCGATACGAGTGAATCCTACTACGAGGCTAGATCCCTCAGGTGGCTTCCTCCGACGACCATAGAAAAACAAGGCATCGGATTTGTACAGAGCCAGCTCGAGACCCTGTCACCGTCGTAAAGGGCCCTGCGAAACAGAACATATTCCTAGTGCAAGAGTTGTTTCTTAAAAAAAATTAAACGTTTTGTCCGTTTAATACACAATTGGTCAGAAAAACAATAGATAAGAGTCACCACTTAACTGTAATTATATACATTTATGTCATCATTCAAACTTGCTATCGCAATAAATTGCAATTATTTATTTTCAGGTTTATTGCTATTATATCCTGTTGATAAGATACTTGAATGGTAACAATACAATTAACACCTAAATTATTACTGCAGAAAAACTTGGCAACTGAATATAATAGTCATTTGTTTTTTGCGACTGCTATTAAGGGGTCATCATGATATTATGATATGGTATGATTTATGCAGAGACTTAAGACAGCGATGGATTAGCCAGCGGTCAGCAACAAAAAAAAGATTTTTAGGGTTCCGTACCTCAAAAGTTAAAAAAGGAACCAAGTTGAAATTTATACCGGATACTGAGGTCTATGGTCCCTATTAGGTGTATAAAATCAAGGTCCTGAGTCAACACGATAAAAAGAATGGGTAAATTTTGATTTTTGCGAAAACTTGTAAGTACCAAAAACCTTAATTTTCAACTTTTTTTATTTTTCAGAATTTTCTCTTTACTTGTGCTGTAAGACCTTGCTTTTAACAAAAATTGACAATTCTAGGTCAACCGGAAGTACCCTATAGGTTGGTTAAGATAAATTTTTGTACTTACAAATTTTCGCGAAAATCTACGTAAAATCTGGGTAGGTACGGAACTCTCGGCGCACGAGTTCAACTCGTACCTGACCGGTTTTTTTTAGTGACGACATACATATTTATTGAACTGCTGAAGTATTGAATTGTTTATTTTACAAGGTAGATTGATCCGCTTCGTAATAATGGAGGAAGGAAGAGGAAAACTTGTGAGACATTTACGTAAATAAGCGTTTTGAAAATAATGCCCACCATGTATTTAATAAAAAACCAGTAGCATTTGTACAACTTAATAAGATAAGAGTTCGCAGTTCTTTATTGTCTTTATAAAGCACAAGTCTATGGAACTACAAATCTGCTCCAGGCAATAGAGTTTTCACTTCTTACAATTAAATTAGTCTAATCCTGATCTGGTAAGAAACTTTTAGGAAAGATGACTGAAATGAAATAAATCTAAGTATATATAGTAGTATAGTCTAAGTATCTATATTCATGTCTTTTTTTAAATACTATTTTTTTTTATGTTAGGAGGGGCAGACGAGCAGACGGTTCACCTGAGAGTGACCACCCCCGCCCATGAACGTCTGTAGGTCGTCGAACGTCTGAACGTCTGAACGTCGTCTTTTAGGAAGGAGTACGCTCTTTTCTTGCAGGTTTGAAGGTTTAACTTGCCTAAGATGTTAAGTTAATTATGGAAAATAAATGCTAGTTCTAATGGCTTTTCCAATAACAATACAGACATACGAGTTTCAGCCCAGTCTTTTTGAACTTCTGCAATTTCTGTCCCCTTTACCTATCTGAGACTTCCTCACCGTATCCGTTTTCCTTACCCTTTTTTTCCCTTTAGGCCATAAAAGAAATTAAGCATGACCAATCGCAATGTTACACATTAGGTATCCATCCACAGCCTTTAATAGTCAGAGGACTATGTCCAGCAGTGGCTAGACATAGTCCTCTCCCTAGAAAGGAGGTTTTGGCTTGCTAGACGGTTTGTTATAGGGTCAAGTTTTCCTTCTCTGCAGTTTTTATTTTATTTTTAAAAAGACAACTGCCGCATTAGTTATATATCCCTGTGTCGCGGGGGGCTTTATAAACATACATGCAACGGTCACAAAGAACACCCAGACTCAGAACATCAATTTGTGAATCACACAAAGTGTTGTTCCATGCGGGAATCGAACCCACAAGACTCAGCGCATTGACCGCGAGATGACCGCTTAAACCACTACGCCATCCATGCGGTCTATAGTGTTGTTGTTCTGCGTAGTTTGCTCCCTAAGTCCACTCTCACGACACCCATGAATAGGGGTAATGACGCTCAGTATTCTTAATCCTTGACCACACGGATAGACGACGACGACATACACACGGACGAAGCCGTTGACGGAAGCTAGAATTATTCTATTTAATTATAATCTTATAAGTCTGTTAGTGTCTAGTGATTTTCTTAGTAGGTTAATGGCTAGTTAACCATAGGATTCCTCATGTAATTTTACTCTGTTTGATTCGAAGATAATCACTGAATTTTATCTTCGTTAAAGAAGCTTTTTGTTTTTTATACGCCACGAATCGATACATCAGAAAACACTACACGTACTATATACAAAATTACAAATTAAAAATCAAAAAAAAATTGTTTGTAATATTTTATTTGTTTTACAATTAAATTATAATTATTAATTGTGCATTGACCTTATAAATATATAAAATTCCTTTGGTTAATGATCAAATACAAACAATACTTTCACTGCATCTTGCTCCAAACATTTGTATTTTTGTTTTGATTAAAGGTGTGTATTTTCATAAGTACAGTAAAATACAGGGAAAAGTATTCATAAAAATAATAACCTCACACATCTCATAAACATGGCCGTATGATCCCAAATTGGGCAGAGCCTATACAATGGTAACCAGACTGTTAATAAAAATATCTATATATTTCTAAATACATACATACATATTATAGATAAATTATACCGATACGCAGAACAAATGATCGTGTTCATCACACAATAATTTGTCCTGCGTGGGAATCGAACCCACGAAATCTGACTTAGCAGTCAGGATCACTTACTACTCGACTAACAGGCTAAGTCAAATTATTTCCGATTAGAGTTTAAATACAACAGAATATAGTTACCGGAACGGATCTTGAACTTTCGGTGGCAAAGTGGGGATCCCTTTGCGCATCGTGCACTTATGGCAGAATAAAATGAACACCCATTTATTATTATTTATATTTTCTTAGTTAGAATAGAAAAAAAATAGGTCAAAACCATAAGACGTCACGTAGTAAAGTTACTACGTAAATTCTTATTGATTCTATGGTAAGAGAAAATGGTTTTAATTAAAATTTTAATTAGAAACAAAAGTATTTTGTTTAAAAAATATTTTCCTGATAATATTATTAGAGTGAAATAGGAGTGACAGATAAAGTAGAAATGATTAAATTATTAATAAAAAAAGAAAGAATTTGCTCGGAAATGTACTCGTCGTACTTAAGTGCGAGAAAACGAATCAGGAGCAGCGACAATATCGGTGAGCCAATCACTGGCCAAAAATTATGATTTATTAAGCCCCCCCCCCCTCGTCCAAACTCAAAAGGAACCCAAAAATCAATTTCTGCGCAGGTGAAAATCAGCACTCAAGACCAGTGCCGGTACCTTTACCATTATATATTTAAGTGAACCCAGGAAAAGATACAGTTTGATTCAATCCACACAAAGAGTCTTGAAAGATCCCGGCATACCAGAATATTCTTCGTTGAATTTGCAACTTTGTCGAAAAGACTCATCTGTAGCAGCTTTCTCCATGAACTTCACTGTCTCAATGTGACTATCTGAAGAAAACTGTTTGAAGTTTATTTCTGTGGATAAGAGATAAAGGTGATCGTAGTTTAATATAAAATAACTTGAATCACAGCTAACTTCAGGCACTAGCTTAGTACACGATACATATACTTTAAACAAACTGTAGCAAAAAGGTGAGGTCATGCTTTAGAGTCTCATAAGTAACGTAAAAGGCTAACAAAAACATCGAGGAAAATTCGTAATTTAGGAAACTTTTGTGCATTTTTTATGAACGTATCTTAGTACATAGAGGGACATAATGGCCTGGGCATTCTCTACCAACCAACCTTTAGATTGTGTAGAAATCTTCAAGGAAGATGCACCGAGGTTATAGTTGACATCAATGGTTGTAAAGTTTATTCTTTTTTGGATAATAAATTTATAGAATTAAGATATATCATTACACACATACATATAAATACACATAAATACATGTCTATTTCGTTTTATCTCTGGATTGCGGCCCAATGGATGATATTGGTAAGTTATATAATATATAACCGGCATAAAAACTTTCGTGCGCGGTACAGGATTAGTGGTTACTAAGTAGTTTAGTGTGTACCCATTAGATGGCACAGAATTAGGTTTTTGTTTCATCATATGTGAAAGTCACCACAAGTGAAACTATCAGTAACTAATTTAATTTAGTCGTTAATATATGTATATAATAATTTAAGTTAATAGACTTAAATTGAAAAAAATATGATAACATATATTTATTATGTATAAAATAAGACACGACAACTTCTTCAGGATAATACTGAAAGGAAAAATAGAAGGCAAGAGAAAACGAAGACGGCCTTGATGAACATACATACAGCAAGTGAAGGAGAAAGTAGGAGTCGTGGCCTATCAGGAGGTCAAATAGATCGCAGGAAATAGAGAAGAGTGGCGATTGTTCCACCAACAAGGGCTTGTCTCTTAAATTAAGAGGGAGAAAATAAATAATGATAAATTAAACACTAAATGTTCTGGGATAATTAAGTTGATAAAGAATAAAAATTTGGTAACAGTATACATTTTATTTTATTACTAATACTTTTTAATTTAAAAAATAAGCATTAAAAGATTTATTCATTATTCTCAATCACAGTAATAATTGGTTTATGATAAGAACTAGTGGTATCGGAAGACGTCTTGTTAGACATTTGTCGGTCTTGTTCCTATCTACTCAGAGCGTGTAACTTCGTTCCAAAACTAAATGGATATAGATCGGATTTAGACAAAATTTGCCACAAAGGTAGATTATGGCCCAGAATAGCACATAGGCTTAATAATCAGAGAAGTATTTTCGTTTTTTTTTTAAATACAAACGTTTTATTAAAGTTTCATTATAACGGTAACCATTTGCCGTCAGCGCATACGACTCGTGTAATACCAACACATTATATATACGTACCTTGTAATTCCTGTATACTCTTTTCGTCTCCTCCAAAATCTTTTGGAAACTGTTCTCTAGGAAAATCTTTATATAAACTTTCAACATCTGGATGAATTACAAGTCTTTCCCTAAGTTTTGCAGAAAGGGCTTGCTTGCATACCATCATAAATGCGTCGAAAAATTTCGAGCCACTTATTATATGTATTTTTTTAAGCCTTTGACCCATTGCATCCTAGAAATAAAATGGTTATGTGTTATTGATCTCAATTAATAATTGTTTTATTCCTTTATCAAAAAGTACCAAATAATTAAATAAAAAATCACAATATGTGATGAACAAACAAAACTAATTCATGATTTTGTTATCAACTATCATCATCAACAGCTCAACGACTTTCTGTTACACATTACCGTAGCTTTTCAGTAAATGTTACCCACAGATTTCAGGAAAATGTGCGGTAAGATCACATAGAAATAATTAGCCAGTCAATGAAGAAATAAAAATAAAACAACATGTAACTTACAGTAAATAATGTAAGCCCTTTATGTATTACCATAGGATTCATTTTTGTAATAGTACTCATGGTTAAATTTTTAGTACCAGCGATCCATTCGTAACCATGGCAGTAATCATTTGACAGCATGTAGTGTCCCATCTAAAAGTAGCATTTTATTTATTAATATCATGGTATTTGAAAGTCCAATACGAGTATATCTAACTACTATGTCAAGGAACGGAATAAATATAAATATAACAGAATTTCACTAGCAAGTTGCCCTTATCCTAGTAACTTCTCCAATGCAATTTTAGGACGGTAATACAGATCTATGATTCCGGCCTCTGCAAACTCTGTCCTGTTACTCCATTTAAGGCTTGTGTCCTTATCCTAGTTACTTCTTCAATGCAATTGCATTGAAGAATCCTATAATTATAGGACGGAAATACGGATCTATGATTCCGGCCTCTGCGAACTCTGTCCTGTTACCTCATTTAAGGCTTGTGCCCTTATTCGAGTTACTTCTCCAATGCAGTTATAGGAAGGAAATACGAATCTATTGTTCCGGCCTTGCAAACTCTGCCTTATTACCCCATTTAAGACTTGTACCCTTATCCTATTTACTTCTCGAATATAATTATAATATTAAGTTGTTGACCACGATTTACACTCACCACCATTAAGTATCTATAGAGTTGTATAATATTGAAATCGTTGTCATCTTTCCCAATAAAATCTGAGATAACCACTCGATAGTTGTCGTTAGTTGGCTTTGGTAACACAGCAATAGTTCTGTAAATAAAATACTTTCCTTATAGCAATTAAAGAGTTCGTGAGTAGATTTGTTGTTGTGAGTGATTACGTTAATATTTTAAATAATATAGTTTCAAAAAAGTAAAATATATATCACGCTTTTGGTAACAACACCGGACTACTAGGGAATACGCTATCAAAGAATAGACAGTTCTAGAATTATGTTCAAAAAGTCTATTAAAGTTGCAAATTAGTAGTTCTTAGTAAATCGGAGTTTTAAAAGTAGGAAATCAAACATACAAACAATTATATTATACAAACATAAACAAAACAATTATAAACAAAGCAAACAGTTTTTTTTAACAATTATGTTCACAACAGTATGTAAAGCAAAGCAGATAAGTCACTTAATGAGTTAGAGCGAGATGCACTACTGACCTTGCAGCGATTGCGGAGGCCTTTCTTTTAAGTAGTGATTTAAGTAAGACTGTTTACATTTAATAAATACTATTATTACTATTTTTGCTTTTCCATTAATAAGAAATATATAGTTGTCTTAAAACGAACAACGATGAGTCTACCAGACTTTCAGATATATATATTTTTTTCTTTTATATAAAACTCCTGCATTAGAAATATATCCTGTGTCGCGGGGGACTTTATAAACATACAAGAAACGGACACAACGAACACCCAAACTCAGAACAACAATTTGTGGAACACACAAAGTGTCGTCCTATGTGGGTATCGAACCCAAAACACTGGCGACGTGGCGGCGTGACGACCGCTTAAACCACTACGCCATTCGTGCAGTCATTGCACACATCGCACCTTTAATAATAAAGTGAATTAATATTATATATATATAATTCAAGAAATACCAAATCAACTTCATCAGTAGAACACGAACAATTCAACAGCCGACTCGATACCATGAAAATGGCAGAGATAAGAGATCGTCGTTCTCTTTTTGACGAACTCGCACGTACATGAATGTCAAACTTTAAATGCGATTTCCCACAATGTTGAAATTCTAAGTTAATTCAGTTTATGAATAAAGGTGCGACATTGTGTAAACAAAAAGCTATTGTTCACCATAATAATGTATTAAGACGTTAACGCACATACAGCTGTGATGATATGGTGTGAATTTTAAACACGTGAATTTAAAGAAAAACTGCACGGATGGCGTAGTGGTTTAAGCGGTCGCCACGCCGTTTCCTATTACGCTGAGTGTTGTGGGTTCGATCCCCACATCGGACGACACTTTGTGTGATCCACAAATTGTTGTTCTGAGTCTGGGTGTTCTTTATGTAAGTTTCATGTATGTTTGTGAAGTCCCCCGCGACACAGGATTTATTCCTAGTGCGGGAGTTGTCTTTTTAAATGCACAGCACAATGTTAGGAGAATGAAGAGTTTCTAATAAGTATCACTATTAGTGCCTAGACAAAGTTTATGATGTATAAATTTATTAAATTTATTTATTTTTAAATTTAATCTATTAAAAATATTTTGCATTTTAATTTAATTTAATTTATTTATTTATTTAAATATTTAGCGTATTAAAATATTTTTCATTTTAATTAATGTTGTAGATAAACTTGCTGTCCAAGGTATCTGTTATAAATGTATACATACAAAAGTTGGATTCAACTATAGTCAATTTGGTTTTGTTTTAATTAAGGCACTATTATATTATATTCAATGTCATTCACATAAATAAATTGTTATTTCATTAATAATTATTATTTCATACAATGTCAACACAACACTAAATAACATCACGAAAGCTCATTGCACACAACGGTCTCCTCGATTGATAAAAAAGTGAAAACTTACATAATGTTGAAAAGGGGTTTGAATTCATTCTTGATATCAAAATTTTGTAAGAATTCAGGCATCAAATTGATGCAAGTACATAATTTATCGAACTTCTGTTTCGTTCTTTCAATGGAACCTTTGTTGTATATCAGCAGACGCTCTAAATATCCTTCATCTGTACACAAAAAAATTACTAGTAAAAATAATAATATTATTGTATGTGAAGGTACATCTTGGAAGGTGAAAAAATGGCGCATACAAATCCACATTTTGCGTATTATCATTTAATCTCAATTGGGACTTTGGACATCTCCAAAATCCAAAATATAGTAAGTCATGGCAATCAGGCAAGGACAATTTAGTAAAATGGGGGTTACAGATATCCGCGAACAATTACAATTCAATTACTCTGAAATGGTTTGCGTTACGTCGCGTCAACATACGCAACGTAACGCAAACCATTGACGGGCTTGATGGTCTAGTGGATAGTGACCCTGACTGCTAAGCCGGAGGTCATGGGTTCGATTCCCACCCAGGAGTAATAATTGTGTGATGAGCACGATCATTTGTTCTGTGTCTGGGTGTAATCTATCTATGTTATATGTGTATTTAGAAATATATAAGTATGTTTATCAGCAGTCTGGTTACCATAGTACAGGCTCTGCCTGGCCAGAACGGCCTTTGTGTGAATTTATTTATTTATTTATTTGGACAACCAACAAGAACATACACCTTAAAAGCAAGAGATACAATGAAAGTGAGATACAACCATTAGTGCTGCCTTAATTACAGGTTGCCACGGAAAGCATAGTAATAACAGAGAGTTGGGAGCGTAAGGCTTCCCCTAACTTAAAAAAGAAAGACCTGAACAGGCACTTTCTTACAGAATAACTACTTAAAAAATCTACAACATAAAACAAACAAAGGTCCTTATACATAAAATATATCTCAGCTTAACAACAATAGTTTCTTTTTAAAAGAAGGTAAACTTAATCTAAACACATCGATATCCTTATTTTTACTTATTGAATTATATTCCGCCTGGAGCCTATTTAAAGAAGAGAAAAAGCCAAGGTTAGTTTTGGATCGCTTAGGTGTGAACAAGGAGTATCTGGACAGTCGTGGAAGTTTATGGGTGATAGTGAAGTTAAGTTTTTGTAGCAGACTAGGACAATTGATATTACCGTTAACTAGCTTGTGAAGAAAAGATAGATTTAAAATTTTTCGCCGCTTTTTTAATGATGTTAAGTTGAAATGAGTTAGTCGGTTTGTGTAACTAGTAAGCTTCTTTGACAAGTTAAATTTATATGCCAGGTGGTACATAAATCTTTTTTGCACGCGTTCAATTTTATTGGAATGAACCTCATAATGCGGATGCCATACCACAGAGCAGTATTCCATAAGAGACCGGACCAGACTTTCGTATAATCTAATAACAGTAGCTTTATTTCTGAAGTGCTTAGTGTTTCTTATTATAAAACCGAGTGTTTTGAGTGATTTAGAGACAATGTGATCGTAATGTTCCTTAAAATGTAGTTGTTTATCAAGAATAACACCAAGGTCCCTAACACTTTCGACTTCTTGAATACGTTGGTCTGATATTTTTTTTTTTTTTTTTTTTTTTTTTATCACATTCACACAACGCCATCTAGTCCCAAACTAAGCAGAGCTTGTACTATGGGTACTAGACAACTGATATAAGTACATATATACTTTTTTTTTGTAAATACATACTTATTATACATAGAAACACCCAGACCAAATCAAACATTAAATGTTCATGCACACAAATGTTTGACTTGAGCGGGAATCGAACCAGCGACCGTTGGAATAGCAGTCCGTTACACAAACCACTACGCCGTTCGGTCTGATATTGTATAAGCCCCGGACAATACAGTGTTACGGTTACGAGTAAAGCGAATATAACAGCATTTGTCAATATTCAAAACCATTTTGTTATCTTTGCACCAGCAAACCAATCTGTTTACTGTGCGAAGTTATTATTATTATTATTCTAGTGAAAGGTAACGTTACGCCTCAATAATTATTATCTAAGTCACGATAGTAGGTTATCGTGAGTTACATTTAATTACAAACCAAGTAATAAATTTTACTATAGGGACATAAAGGAAGGTAGCAGCTACCAACCATCACAAATGAAATTTCTTTATAGTAATCTTTATATTAATACTCTTTCATAGTAGGTTATTTAATACTTTGGAAGATTTTTACTAGGTAAAACTTTTCCATGAAATGTTATAGCAATGAGCCATCTCGATGACATCAGCTACCAAAAAACGAAATTCATTTAAAACATGCTTAAATGTATCACATAGGATAAGGATAAATTTTATTGTTAAGCCTTATGTTATGTAGCACAAAAACCTAACGTGATATATGATACACAACATTAACTAACCGAACTAGTTATTTAGACTTATTTCGGTTAAATATTAAAAACCTTTAGCATGTCATACCCTATTTTAAATTTATAAGCTATTTAGGATTCTGTCATGATGCTGAGATCTGTAGATTCCGTATGGTGACGGATCTTAATCCGTCACCACACGGAATCTTTGGATCTCTCATGGGATGAATACGGAGTGTCAGCACCCCTATTTATCCCATGGGTGTCGTAAGAGCCATCTGAGGGACCAGGACAATAGCACTGTAAAGAGAAGATCGTCGCCCGTCTGGCCAGCGTGGTATAGTGGGCCAAAACCTCCTTTCTAAGAAGAGGCCTATGTCCAGCAATGGACTATTAGAGGCTAATAATGAAAATGATGATGAAACTATTTAAAAAATTAGTATCAAAACAACCTGTTTAAAAACTACTGAAATTTAAAAGTTTTATTCACCACATACTTTTTAATGAATTTTTATTTAAAATATACATTATTTTTTTGGATATAATTTATTTGTAATGTGTCGTTACTCCAGTCTAACGTATTAGAATTTAAAATCTGCTACTTGATACATTATTTTGATATGACAAATTAAAAAAAAAAACTTACCAAATTCTTTAACCCTGAAATGATTCTGCATCTTGATCCAGTCTGCCAAATGCTTAATATCCTGTTTCAACTTATTCACGTCCCCATATCCAAGAGCTTCACGAACCTTTTGTAGATGATTTTCATTGAATTTTAGCATAGAATTTGGATTAATTTCTTCCATCGTTTAAACTAGAATAGATAAATGTAACCTTGTATTATAGAATAGAGCAAGCCACTTTTATAGAAAATGAGGTCACTTACAGTACAGTTCGTACTTTTTGTAAAATATGTGGTTTGTGATATATCGTAACAAGACGTCAGCTAGCAACGACTAACCTAACTATAATAGAGTCGATTTGCTTGACTTTGTTTTTATATGAGATATCAGATGTTTTTATGTTAATTACTGTACTATAAATTAAATGATGTTCGCTATCTCTTGCATTAAAGCTGTCATTACATTTATAAACAGACTAGCTTTTGCTCGCGGCTCCGCCAGCGTGTTTGTCGGTTATCGCGGTAAAAAGTAGCTTATACTACTCGATGATAATGCTGAAAGAATTTTTGAAGTCAGTTTAGGCTTAAAAGCGTAATGAACAAACAGACAAACTTACTTTCACATTAATAATATACACACCTAAGAATGGATAAAATAAGATGATTGAGTACTTTTGTCACTCCCGTCAATCGGTATCCTATGTTTACGGGAATTGACGCTCTCATGAGAGGTTCGTACTTAATATAATATTTAATAGCATTAGAATCATATCATAGTGAAGAGGATAAGATAAAGAAAAAATATTATTACAGTGTCAGAGTAATAAAGAAGGGAAATAAGAGCAGTTTAAAGTAAATAATTATTATGGGGAAAGGACCAGGAAGTATGTAGTACCAAAGTTATGTGATAAATATAAAATACTAACACAAGACAATAAAACACAAGAAGACAAGAAAATAAAATGTGAGTTAAAACTAAAACTAAGACTAAAAGAAATGTTTGGATATTGCAATAGAATAAAACGTGTACATAAATAGGGAAGTAGGTACCCAGGAAATAGTCAGGTTACACATATTTATGTATTGTTTGTCTTGAATTATTTTGGTTTTTAGTTAGTACTAGTACACCGTTGTATGAGTAATTTAAAAACTAGCATTTAATTACTAACATTATTATAAATTGAACGGAATGTCTACAAACTGTTAGAATAGTTTGGCGAATGGAGAACTTGTAAAAAAATGTAAATCAAGTGCGATTAAAGTTTATAAAAAAAAAAAAGTACATACCTTTGAATTGCCTAAGTTGCCGTGGCCGTAGTCAGTCTAAAAGTTAGTTCAAGTTTTCAGTTATCTTTCATATGAATGAGTTCTTTATTTAAAAATAATTTCTTTCATTTTTCCTTTTAAAAAAATACGTAAAACGGATACAAAGAATACCCAGACTTAGAAAAACATTTTGTTGATCACAGAGTGTTGTCCCATGTGGGGATCGAACAACACTCGGCGGAAGCGGCGAGGTGATCGCTTAAACCACTTTGCCATCACACATAGTTTTAAATGAATCATAGTTGATGTGTTCTAATGGTATAATAAACTGATTTTATGTGACATACATGCTATATAATGATAGTATTAAAACTGATTTTAAGAGGCTAGAAATTAACTATAACTCAATTTTACAATTTTAAACTTTATGTTAAAACATTAAGTTCCTAAAACTAATTGAGCCACTAATTGAGCCAGTTAATTATTAAATACTCTTGAAATAAGTCTTTCAAAAACTTTTTCTGTCTATTTCTTTGTCTAAGTCAGAGTAAAGTAATAAATAAATAAAAAAATAGCTTTATTTATTCCACAAAAAATAGATTACAATTATGGGTTGCCAATTATTAGTTGGTAAAATTGAATTATCTTATAAATAAAATTCTCGTGTCACAATGTTCGTTCCCGTACTCCTCCGAAAAGGCTTGACCGATTCTCATGAAATTTTGTGTGCACATCGGGTAGGTCTGAGAATCGGCCAACATCTATTTTTCATACCCCTAGATGGTAAGGGTGACCCATCCCCAATTTTTTTTTGTTTTGCAATACAACGTTTGCCGGGTCAGCTAGTTTCATTATAACATAATTGAAATAATAATAGTTATATAATTATGCACGTTTAATTTGTGGACCCCCTCAGGGTGAAAGCCTCCTCCAAAGAATTCCAGTCATCCAGTCTCTTCCTGCGTTGGCCACAATCTCGTCCTGCCACCGGGCGCACGGGCGACCTCTCTTTCTAACGCCAAACGGTCCGTTCCATTTCGTGATGTTGATTGTCCATCGACTGTCATCATATCTCGCCACATGACCGGCCCACCTCCATTTTAGACTTTGAGAGAAGTATAGAGCATCCTTTAGCTTGGTAACCTTCCGAATTTCTGTGTTTCTTACTTCAATTCTTCAATGGAGAGGAGCTGTTTAAATATAAAACTAAGAGATAGAGAGTGAAGTACAAGAAGGTAATTATTAAAAAAATATTTTTACTCATTGTAGCAAGCCCACTCCAAGATCAAGTACCTTACCAAATGGGAATTTGCAAACATAAATACTGCTGTAAGTTTCATTAAATTTAATTGACCATAACTTGAGAAACAGCCGCGTCCCTGTTTTACGAGAGACGCTAGCTTTAATGGGTCTAGTTAAATAGTAATTTAAAGGTACAAACGCTTATGATTTTTTATTTACATGTTATTTATTCTTTAGTGTTCTAGTGGATGCTTTCACTGAGGGTGCCTACCCGCGAACTACACTGCCACTTTTTTTGGTTTAAAAGGGGCAAACGAGCAGACGAGTCACCTGATTATAAGTGACTACCTGCACCCATGGACACCTGTCACGCGTCAAGCGTCAAATGCGTCACCCACCTTTAAGTCCCCTCCACCCCTCTCCAGATAAAGGAAAAGGGTTGGTTGGCCTCCTGTGACCTCTTTGAAAAACTACACCAAAACTTCTTCGGTAAATATCAAGTTAAAGGTAAGATCAAATGCAGTTTTATCTTAAGTCTTTTAAAGTTATTCAAAAATGATGGTGCTACAGCAAGCCTAACAAACATAATATTATGTCTATTTTATCATTTGACTGGCCTCTTGATGTAGCGGTTAGCGATCATAGTTGCTTAGCCAAAGGTCTGGGGCTCGATACCCACCCAGGACAAATAATATTATGTGATGATGCTGACTATTTGTTCTGTGTCATGGTGTATTTTATGTATGACTGTGGGTCTAGAAACATATAAGTATGTTTATCAGCTATTTGGTTACCATGGTACAGGTTCTGCCTAATTTGGGGTCAAATGGGGATATCATCACCACTTAGAAATTTGGTTTAAATCTGATATTTAAGTAAAAAACAACTTTGATTGGGTTAAATAACTAACTTAGGTATGAGTTGTTAGTGTAACCACAAATTTACTTATAAAACACTATAAAGTAAATAATTATAGGTTTCGGAAATAGAAAAGATCGGAAAAAACTGCGAGAATTGATTCCTGAACTGTTTATAATATGTACTTACAAATTTATACGGAACCCTGGGTGGGCGAGTTTAACTCGCGCTTGTCCGGATTTTTCCTTAGTTAAAACCTACTAAAATGCAAATGAAATGTTAATAAAAAAATTGTTAAGTAAAAAATTCAAAAACGACGCGGCGACAAAGAAGGGGTGAAATGTTCGAAATTACTTAGTAATGGACGTAATGCTTTGAGCTGTTTTAACAATTTAAACTTAAGAACTAAATATGAAAGAGGTAAGTAAATTACTGCACGGATGGCGTAGTGGTTTAAACGGTCACCTCGCTGCTTTCTACTGAGCTGAGTGTTGTGGGTTCGATCCACACACGTGACTCTTTGTGGGTTCCACAAATTGTGGTTCTGAGTCTGGGTGCCCTTTTATGTCCGTTTTAGGTATATTTGAAAAGTCATCCGCGACACAGGATTTATTCCTAGTGCGGACGTTGTCTTTTGGAAAAATAATAGAGATATATTACCTAAACGCTCTTATAGCAACAAAGACACATTTTTTCAATGTAAATTGAATAGAATAAATCTTCATGTTTAATGGAAACTAATCATACTTCCATTCATACTTATGTGAAAAATTTAAAAGTAAGATTGTTTGTTTGTTTTTTACTAATTTTCATAAAATTTGGATTAACACATAGGTTACTTTTTATCACGAAAAATGTAATATTCCCTTCGGATGAACATAAACCACTAAACTGATCTTAAAAAATTATTTTACATATGGAAAGCTATATTGTCAGAGAGTAACACAGGCTACTTTGTACCGCGATTATATTTTTAAGAGAACATCACATTTTTCGGGAAAAAATGTAACCTATGTGTTAATACATTGCACTGAATGGCTGGTTTTATAGGTTTCTAGGTGATATAAATGTTTTAATGTATTTATTCAATTAAATATTTCTCCCATATTTATATATTAGTATGTGTTATTTATTTCAGTTATTTATTATATTTCATATTTTACATCTATTCACCCATCTTTTCAAGGTTTACCAATCAGTTTTAATATTATGTATTGTTGTTAGCATATTCATCCACTCTATGTATCTACCGTGGATAACTTTTATTGGCTACTCATGTAATCATAGTTTGCTACCTACTTAAGAATTGCAGCTGTTGTTATTCCTAAAAAAAAAAAAAAAAAAACCAGGGTGTCAGTCAGCTCCATATCAAATTTTATAAAAATTCGTAAAGACAAACGCGAAGTAACAAACATACGATCATACGAATAACAGAAATTATTATTCGTAGAAACAATCACACACACAAACATTCGCCGTTATAATACTAGTGTGTATTATATACTCGTACAATTACGTATAATCTATAAATGCATTTATTTAAAGATTTATTGTTCCTTACTTGCATATTCATGCAGGAAATTGTAAGCTAACTGTTAGTATCAATGATTTGCGCGCACGCATATTTTTACAAGTAATTTGCAAAGCAAGTACATTTTAGACACCATTAAATCTTTTAACTGCAGTGTTAGAATTGATATTTATTAGCTTATCTGTGCCTGTGACTTACACATTATTTAAAAGATTGAAGACAGAACGTTATGTACCTACATAAAACTTTTTTTTATTTTTTTATTAAAATAGGTGATAAGGAATTTTTGCCCCATTTTAAATAAAAATCCTATTGAGACTGTCACATTAGCTAATAGTTTTTGTATAGTTAGAACAACTCCAAGTCGTTTAATCTCTAACTTCTCTCAAAGGCGATTGAAGGTTACAGACTTACGGGTTAGGAAGGTGTTACGAACAGGAAGCTCCTAAGATTCCTGCAAGAATATGATTTGATGAACAACCGTTGGAATTGTTTTCAGTGGAACTTCAAGTTTCAGCCATTGAGAGTCAAAATGAGGCTTTAGAGATCGTCTTTGACATAACAAAGGCGTCCGATCTACTTTAGGATCTTGACTTACTGTCAAAACTACAAAACCTTAAATTATTTATATTTATTTAGCACGCCGTCTCGGGTACCAGTTTCTGGGGAACCAGGTGTTCCCCTTGAAAGGAAATCCCTGGTACCCTGACGTACATAGGGCCATCTACGGCGTGTAGAGACCTCTCGTGTGGGAACGAAACCTCTCCCGGTCGCACTCCGCCATCTCCTTCGCAAGCATAACTTGCTCGCAGAATTAGACGTACCTTAACTTAACTCTAACTAAATTAACTCATTTGCATCAAATCAATAAGATAAAAAATAATATGAAAAATGGGTGCCTCATGATTTAACTGATGTGCAGAAAGAAATGCGTGTTGAAACTTGTGTTGTTGTATTAGATCGAATTGTGGCATTTGACGAATAGTGGATTGTTTACGATAACCGTAAGCGAAAAATGCAATATCTGACCCCCGTTCAAACTCCGAAACAGTGCCCTAAAACAAAGCTTACCAATAAAAGGTAATGGTAACCGTTTGGCGGTCTCTTCACAATTTTCTACGTGATAAAATAATTTCTTCCCAGGAGGCAGTACAAAATGCTTTCACACACTTTGTCGAATCTAGATCTTAGAGTTCTATCGTAATGGCATAAATGAACTTCCGTTTAGATGGCAGCAATGTATATATAATCAGGGTAAATATTTTGATTAAATAAATATGTTACATATTAGAAAAAAAAAAAATATATAAATTCCATACTTTAACCCCTTTTTTTTTCCGTGCGGAAATCCCCTCGGATACCACCTGTCGGTGGCATGTCGGACTCGAACCGACTAAAACCGCACGCCGTCTCGGGTACTAATAGCCGGGGAACCAGGTATACCCTAGAAAGGAAGTCCCTGGTGCCCCGACATACTTCGGGCCATCTACAGCAACAGGTAGACGACCCCCCCCCGTGTGGGAACCCCATGTTCCCTCTACTCTCTGGAAGCGAGCGCGCTTCGCAACGCGCTCGCCGCCACCCCGGCCTGCTTCTGCTAGGGTGACAGATGGCCTCACCTATCACCCCCAGGCCTGCGCTTATGGAGGACGGAGGTCGTTCTGCGACCTCTGGCGCCTGAGTCGCCTGCGGTACCTGGCCCGTTCCCGGGCCTGGCGGGCCGGGAGAGTCCTAAACCTCTCCCGGTCCCGCTCCGCCGTCTCCTTCGCGAGCATAACTTGCTCGCAGAAGGAGACGGCAGAGTTCCACGCACTCTCGCTCCTCACGATAGCCGCAATCTGGGAGGTGTGTGGGTGTGAGGGATTAGTCCTATTCATAACTTTTAATCAGCATCTTTAACTAATAGCCCATTGTAAAGCTCTTACAAAGACAGTGTTTTAAGTAATTAAATAACACAATGGTTAATTTCTAAAGATGAAGGTAAAAAGAAGTAATCCGGAAAACAGGCAGTAAGTTTTTCATGAATAATTTTCACATATATTATTGTAAGACAATAGCATTATCACTCTATCAGGCTGTCACTATTTTTCTTCTTTATCTTAGACCATTGTGAATTGTGACTTAAATGTAGTCATAAATAGCCTACTTAATTAAACCTTATTTGTATCTGCAACCCATCATATCCATGTTTATTATTGAATTTATTATCTACTAACTTGTGCCCGCGGCCCCGCCCGTACATGTCGGTTATAGCGGTAACAAGTTGCCTACGTTACTCGCTGATAATGTAGCTTTCCTTGGTGAAAGAAATTTTAAAATCTGTTTAGTTGTTTAGGCGTAAAAGTAACCAATCTGTGGAACGAGTTATCGTCGGCGGTATTTCCGGACCGATACTACCTTCAAACCTCCAAGAAAAGAGCGTACTCCTTCCATAAAAGTCGGCAATGCGTGTGACTCCTGAGTTGCAGACGTTCATGGGCGGCGATGGTCACTTTCCATCGGGTGACCCGTCTGGTCACCCCCCTTCGACCACTCTAACATAAAAAAAAGTGTAACAAATAAACTCACTTTAGAATTTATAATATTAGTATGGATGATTTGACGACTCTTAGTCTTAATGTAACATTATACATTAATAATCTTCCTGATAAAATACAAAAGAACATGTCAAATCACAGTATGCTTAGGAACTCAACTCATAACTAGTGAAGTGCGAGTGTAACTTTTAAATCGAAGCTTTATACAAACCAAAACATCTAGAGATCAATTCTTGTAGGTTTTACCCGATTTAATTGAATTAGAAACTACTTTGTCTTTATAAAATACTGATACACATTGATAACTAAAACAGTAAATGTTCATAGCAGAAACTGTAAGTTTGTAACCGCTAAATATTTGACTCCTTTCTGATAATTAGAAAGAGAAGTCAGAGAGGCAGATAGAGATGGAAATTGCAGTGATCGGAAAGGCCGTACCATTTAAGATATCTTAACCAATTTAAATATGTACCGTATTTATGAATTGTAATGTATGTACTCATGTTTAATATGTATAGGCGTTGTATATATCAGGTTTGTATATGTGTATATATGTGATACTATATATCGCTCAATTTCTGGTTTAAAATTTACTGTAACCAAAATGCACCTACTTCCTGTTTTTGCTGCATCACCCAATGGTTGACTGGCAGAGAATGCCTTAGGCATTAAGTCCGCCAATGCACCAAATGTTCGTGATGTATCAATAAATAAATATTTCGGTAATTAAAAACCTATAGGTGATTTCCTGTTGGCCTTAAATTCTAAACGATAAGCAACACCTTGCAGTATAAATAAGTGACTATTAAAGTGGACGAAATATCTATGAACAATATTAAATGGAATTCCGCCTACGGTAGTTAATTTTGTACTTTTTGATTTGATTAATTCTTTCATCAATTAATTTATTGATTTCTATGATTAATTGGTTTCCTCAGAAGACTCAACTAAAACTTCATAGCAGTCTGACTGATTTTGTAGAAACGCGTAGAGGCCAAACAAGTAAACATTTTGACTGCCTCTGTTGGGCAGTGGTAGCGTATGCGACTGCTATGCTGAGGTCTTGGGTTCGATTCCCGGGTCGTACCAAATATTTGTATGATCTTCAAATATTTGTTTCGGACGTTGTGTGTTTTCTATGTATAATATGTATGTATTTACAATTTTATTTATTTTATTTGTATTTACTGCTTAGTTTGAAACTAGATGGCGTTTTGTGTCAGATGACCGGAACGGATTATTATGATTAAATTTCTATAAAAATTTATCAATATATTGAGATGCGTAATCATACATTGCCTGGAACATCTTGACAGGCGTAATATTATAAAATAAGCCAATTGAAACTCAACATTTCATAACTTTGAATTTCTATATCAAGTCACTTCTTCAATCTAGTTAGTAGTGAAAATAAGGAAGGTTAAATGCTTTAACCTTACCGTGGCGTGGGATAGTCAGGCGTTAGCACAAATGGGTCAGCTCGACCGGAGTGATACCACGGCCTCTCAGAAAACCGGTGTTAAGCAGTTCTTTCGTTGCTTTTTATAAAGTGATGGAGGTTACTGGAGCTACCAGAGATTACGGAGTTGTGACTCTTGAGATGCAGGTGTCCATAGGCGGCGGTAGTTACTTACCATCAGGTGACCAGTCTGTTCGTTCCCCCATAGAGGTATAAGCATAGAGAGAACACGGGATACAGCTGCCTGTAAGTGGAAGCGATACTGGCAACGCGATTAGCTATCGTGAAGTGAGTTTAGAAATCCCCAGCGAACCACAGAGCTCGACTAGAAAGAGACAGAGGGAACTATCTGTTATCCGTCTCTCGCGGTGCCTATATTACATGATTGGGCCTCTTGTTCACTCTATGCCCATATCTCTATGGATTGCCTTCTTATTCCTTAAAGAAAATTAGAAACTTTTAAAGGTTCGTCATATTATTTTCACCAACATGATATACAAGGCCGCTGCCTAAATAAATACTATTTATATTAACCTTTTTTATTACCTTTATAAGAGTAAACAAAACTAACTCTATCTTAAATGACAAAAAAAAAAGTACTATCAATCCACACTTAAATTTCTAAAGGAACCGGGCATTCCCATATATTCTTGGTTAAATGTATCTTTGCTCCTTAAACTTTCATTTGTACAGGCTTTGTTCATCATCTTCATGTATTCAACGTGTTTATCGCCACTGAGTTCATCGACCCATTCCACTAGGAAAATAAAAGTTTAATTGAAATATTGTTTATTTTAAATATTACTAAGTACTCTCGTCTTTTTTATATCAATTTTAATTAAAAAACATATATTTTAAGTCTTGACCTATGAGGGTTGGAGATTTATTATAAAATTTTGAAATATAAAAAAAAATTGAATTTCGAATTGCGCGCCAATCCACAGATAATTAAATCTGAAAATACTGGTTTTAAAAACCACCAACTTCATAGGTTAAGATCTATTTTTGAAAGCGTAACAGATTCCTTTTTGACATACTGCAACATTCTCACAGACTGTTTTACTTCAGGACATGGTTTTGGCTCTTGAGAGAATTCATCAGAAGATAGATATACTGTAAAGTACAGCTTGTACTATCTACTTAGCTAATATAGTTTCCTGGTATGAAATGTGCTCAGCAATGAAGTAGTCTTGTAGATTTTTGGAGAGAACACGTAATGTATCGTAATAATAATGTATGTAAAACTTTACGTGCAAGTAACATCCATAAGGAGCACTCAATTCACGTAAAGCAATCATTTTTAACCCTCCGTCTTATATCCAGAAACAATGTAAAAGAAGTGATTATTAACTTAAAATGATGACATAAATTATAAAACATACTCACAGCTTAATTTATCAAAGGATTTCTGGTTTCCACCATAGTCAAATGGTAGCAACTCCCTTGGTATATATTCATATATTTCTTCCATAGTATTATGCACGTGAATCCTGCTTGATATCTTTTCACTGACAAATTGTTTCATTAATTTGACTAGCAGTTCTACAGCTTTTGAGGGTGTTAACACATGTATTCCTTTTACTCTGACACCGTATCCTTCCTGTAACACAGTAGAAAACTTTATATTACAGCTTTGAAAAAAAAAGACTAGCAAGAGAAAGAAGAACGTCAAAAACATTGATAAAGTGGGAAATTGAATATTGAACTAATTCATAATGGTAACATTGTTTAATTTAAGGGGATTTATATCATATCATCAAGTAATTTTCATTTGCAAATAGACACTTAGAGTCACATTTAAATCTTTATAGTATTAATAATCTTTATTGTTATAAATAACCTTTAACAGTTTTCTTAGAGCTATAAATATACAAGCAACTTAAAAGATAAAGGTCATACCAATAGAGTAACCCTAACTCCCAAACTAGGTGTTCCTGTGACTTGGAAGTTAGATTTCTGCTGTTACAGAGACAATTTGATTGTTACAGGAGAATTTTCTTTTGTATGTATGTGGAGGAAAACAGTCTGGCAGTTGTTGCCTCTCACAAGATACTTAATCGATAATAACTTACAATAAGTATTGATGAGAATTGTTGTAATTCCACTGTGTTGATTTTTGTTATCAAGTTAATTATGTTGACTTGTCGAAAATCGAATACAACTATTATTCCATTTGTGTACTCATTTGCTTTTAAATATTCAGAGAGCTGAAAATAAAACCAAATTTGTTTAAGTTTAGAAATTGAAAAGTTTTTACACTGATTTGGACCATGTGGAGTAAGATTTTATGTAAGAAAATTTGGAATCTTTTAAATAATAATATTTTACACACAACGCCATCTAGTTTCAAACTCAGCAGAGCTTGAACTGTGAATGCTAGATTAAGCAGAGCTTGAATACCGAAACTTCGAAACAAACATTGGCAGATAATACAAAGATTTGGTCTGACCCGGGAATCGAACCCGAGACCTCAGCAAAACAGTGACATACGCTGCCACTGCACCACCGAGGTAGTCGAATGTGTGTATGTTGCTATATTGGATTTCAAAAATAATTTTCATTGTGTTATCATCATCATCAGCCTTGAATAGTCCACGTCAGGACATAGGGTTTGTGTCAAATTTTCCTTTTCCTTTTTTCTTTTTATAATTACTTACAATCATATTGAACTGGAAAAACTCTGTTATATTTTCTTCTTTAAGGTTTTCGTCGCTGTTCCTCAGAATAATTACTCTGCTGAAGTCTTCTGTCATAACTGGCATCGGGACCATGCATCTGTAATGGAAAAGGGTTTAAAGAGTATTTGTATTCATATTATTTACATAATGTTGTTTGTGTGCTTGTTTTTAGAGACGTCAGAGTTTGGTTATTTTATTCAAGTATCTACTTGAAGTCTTTGCGTGCTACAAGTTAGAATATGTCAACATATACATGTCATTATATACATTTTTACATCTCTTCTAAATAATATCAGGTCAACGTGGTATATCTCCAGTAACAAGTCGTCCAAAGAATTATGTCTGTGGGCTTCAAAAAGGAATAACCGACTTCAAAAAGAAAGAGGTTATCAATTCAGATGTTTATATTTTTTATGTATATTGTAAGGTCCCGTCATTTATAGATGGATTTGTAAAATTATTTTTTTGTTCGAAAATGGTCCCATTTAAATTTCATATAGATCTGATGATGAGTTTCGGAGACAGACAACAGAAGTCTTCAAAAAATAACAGCAGATGAACCGCGAATGCTGCTAGGTTTTTAGTGATTTTCTTTCTTTTCTTGTAGTCTATTGTGATTCTTTTTAAGTTCATTGTAATTAAAACTGACCCTAGATTCAAGATGTCCCTCAACTCCGACTTTACGTTGGTCTTCGTGAAGAAATGTGGCAAGAGCGTCTTCAGGGTGCATAGCTTATCTATCTGCTTCTTAGATTTTTCCACGGAGCCTTTACACACTATTAAAGTTCTTTCCAAATAGTCCCTTTCTGTAACAAACAAAAAAAAACACAAATAACATCATCATCATCTGCCAACCGTTATCCCAATTTTATTTGGGGTCGGCGCAGTAAATATGATTCTTCCATTCTACTCTATCACTCGTCATCTCACTTTTTACTCACTTCCTAGCCATATCCCTACTCACACAGTAAATACATCTTTTTCTTTTCTTTTTTTGGTCTTCCTCTTCTCTTGTACCCTTCAACTCCCATACCTAAAACTTTCTTGACGACTTTTTCCTCAGGCGCTACTTTCAGACTCCCTCGTATATACTCATTCCTTACTTTGTCCATCCGAGTCACACCACACATCCATCTCATCATTCGCATTGCAGCTGGGCCAACTTTTGAGAACCCTACAGATCAGTAGGTCTGATGATAGTTTTTTAAATTTGTTCCTTCATTGTTAAGGGGAAACTGGGTTCACAAATTGTTCCCGTTACCTGCCGCCAATTCAACTATCCCGTATTGATTCGATGCTATACAGTTCGATCAATCTCACGTTCACATTGTAAGAGCTTGAAATCTGAGCAGACTATTATCGCTATCCCATCTAGCGAAATTCAGGACTGGAGAGACCGCCGAAATCGCAGAACATGTACTCAGTTTTGGTTCTGCTGATTTTCAAGCCAACATTCTGAAGCGTTTGTTGCCATTTTTCCAGTCTGTTCTGGACTTTACCCCAGTCTTCACTGACCAACACAATGTCATCTGCAAATAGCATGCACCAAGGTGCATCCTCCTGTATGTCCGATGTCAGAGCATTCAATATCAACAGGAAGAGGTATGGGCTCAGAGCCGATCTCTGGTGTAAGCCTACAGAGACACTGAATTGATCAATGTTTCCCGTGACCGATCTTACAGGAGTGCTAGACTCTCTGTAAATAGCACGAATCAATTCTACATACTTAACAGGCACTTACTCTTTCTTCTTTCAAAGCCCACCACAAAACCTCTCGGCGTACCCTATTATATGCCTTTTCGAGGTCCACAAACACCATATGTAAGTTTTTGTGCTCATTCTTGTATTTCTCACATAGTTGACGCATTGCAAATATAGCATCTATTGTCCTGAGACCTGGCATAAACCCAAATTGACTTTATGTTATCTTACTCTCATCTCATATTCTTCTCTCAATAACTTTCTCCCAGACTTTCATTGTGTATAACTTGAGCTTCATTCCTCGATAATTGTTGCATTCCTGAACATGCCCTTTATTTTTGAAAATGGGTACGATTTGGGTTTGATACCATTCCTATGGGATTACCTCTTCATGCAACAACATATTGAAGAATAGAGCCTTTCATTTATCATACTTCGTACTGCCAATCTGACTTCATCTATACCAATCTCGTTCACCAGTCCGACATTCACATCCACATCCTTCAGCCCTCCGCTCCATTCCTTCTCTTCATTCATAAGTTTTTCAAATTAAGTTTTCCATGTCTCTTTTATATTTTCATCTTTAACCAGCACTCTCCCCTCTTCATCTTTTATACATCTTACATACTTTAGCTGTTTTGCTCTTTCTTCCCTGTTTTTTTGTAATATTGTAGAGTTCTTTTTGACCTCTAGGTTCACGTAGGTGTTTAAACATTTTGTATTGAGCTTGAGCTCTGGCTACCGCTACCGCCTTTTTCTTCTACTCTTTATATTAATTCATTTTGACTACCTTCATTCTCTCACACCCCTTTCCATTTTTCTACGCTTTAAAAGTACCCTTCTTTTTTTATAGCTTTCTGTACCTCATCACCATGGTCCGTGTGGTGACGGATTAATAATACAGAGTGTCACCACCCCTATTCATCCCGTGGGTGTCGTAAGAACCGACTAAGGGTAAAAACTACGCAGAACAATAGCACTACAGAGAGAAGGAAACTTATATATAATTTTCTATATATAATTTTCTTTTTCTCGTGTGATTGTAATTAGTTTACTACTTTTTACACTACTACATTACAGTAAATGCTATGTACACCGTAATTGTCATACATATCAGGTATAATGCCACATATTGTGAAAACTAGTTATAAGTATAATATGTATGATGTGGTAGTACTTTTTAATAAATAAATTAATAAACCCGTCTGGCCAGCATGGTATAGTAAGCCAAAACCTCCTTTCTAAGGAGAGGCTTATGTCCAGCAGTGGACTATTAAAGACTGTTGATGATGATGATGATGATACCTCATCACTCCACCACTATGTACCTCTTGCAAACTTGCCTTTTCCCTTCGTTTCCCCAAATACTTCTCTCGCTATCTTTATTATATAATTTGCCATTTCACTCTACCATCCATCCACAGACTTTTCTAGCCTTACATTCATTTCAATCATTTTTTCTACCACCTTTACCTTAAAGTTACTTGCATACTCATCTTTCTCTAATATTCGCCATATGATTCTTGGAGAAGGTTGGTTCTTCCTACTCTTACTCAAAATCTTCCATTGGACCTCCATTACCAGCAATCTATGTTGCGATACTACGGGTTCCCCGGGCACCACTTTGCAGTCTCTGACAAAAACCAACTTCCTTCTTTTAATGAGAAAGTAGTCGATCTGTGTCGCGTTGCTACTACTTTCATACGTGATCAGATCTTCATGACGTTTGACAAAATGACAAATAACAATAAAAAAAAAAAACATCTTTTACAAACATTTTGCATCTTCCTTTACAAACATAATATGTAATATTTGAAATAAGTTTATTGCTTAACATTGATTATTAAAAAACAAACAAATTTCCATGACACAATAATGTACATACATCGTCCGCGTGGTGGCGGTTTAAGAATACGAAGTGACACCACCCCTATTCATTCCTTGAGTATCGTAAGAGAAGACAAAGGGAGCAAACTAAGCAGGACAACAGCACTGCAAAGAGAAGGAAAACTTGTAACAAACCCTTTACCAACCTGCCTGGCCAGCGTGGTATAGTAGGTCACTGACTTAATAGTCCACTACTGGACATAGGTCCAGTAGTGGACTATTAAGTGCTGTCCATGAATCGATGAATACTGTACATATATGATATAGCAGCAAATTTAAAAAGAAAATTAGATACGTGACCTTGTGACCTTGTTTTAGCATCTATTAGACTTATGTATATAAATTACATACGGGTGATTTATAACAAATAGAGCATGTAAAATCAAAAAACCCCTAAACTTGATGATCGTAAACATGAAAATTAGTTCTGATCATTTAGAAGTTAGTTTCATTGTTATAATTTAGAAGTATCAGAGATGAAGTTTACTAATGGCCACTATAAAAATCAAAAGCAATATGATACCATACTTTCCTTTACAAAAAAAAACAGACAAAACCCAAAATAAAACATAACCGCCAGTCAGTTCGTTTACCTTCTTTCCTGGTCCGATTGTATACAATAAATTACTTTGATGTTTATCAAATACTCATAAATTTTAAAATAAAATGATTTTATTTTAAATATGATAATTAAGGTACAATTCAATTTAGTCAATAATGTTTTCCTAAACAAAATTTGAAAAAGAGTCTGTTTGAAAATTCAGAGTTTAGGTGCTCGTTCATGCAATAAAAATGAATAAAAAGAATGCGAATAAATTCTGTTTGTACTTAATCCAGATTTATTAAGACATGATATACAATTTTTGACATAGAATTTTGACCTAAAATTTACATATTAACCGTTATCACGAGGCCTCCAAGAACAGGTAAAAGTCAAAAGAATAAAAGCACGATTCAAGGTGAGGTATCAAAAACCCAATCATTTAAATGAGTCAGCTTAAGACAAAACAACACCGACCGTTACTGCTATTTTTTATATTACCTAGTATAAGTCGAATGAAAGACCAAATAACATGTATTGTGTCAATTAAATAGTTTGATATATCTAGGGCATCAGGCAATTCAATTCATTTTGGGATGAGTGGTTATCTAAATGGAATGAAAGTATAGTTTACAAATAGGTGAGTTACGAGTCAAATGCTTGTTTGAGACCGATGATTTCTTATATCTATGGCGAACGAGATATAGCACACTATAATAATGATGAACTTAAGGTTTAAAGTATAAAATAAAAAAAATAGATCGAGGGAATGCGTTTTTTGAGAGTCATAAAAAAAAGCTTAAGAAAGCCACTTAAAAAGAATCTAAACGGGTAACTTGGAAGATAGTGTCTTGCGCTCCTTTGCAATAAGTTAAAACTAGTCAATAATTGTGTTGAGTAGAGTTAGGTATAGCAAAAGAAAAAATGATGACATAGAAAGGCGTTTATGGAGAAGTATGTGACATATTTAATTTTATTTTACAACTTTATGCATTTGTGTACATCGGCGGATTTAATGCCCAGGGCATTCTCTACCAGCCAACGTTACTTGCCTTTTATCTTTGCCTTTTATCTTATATAAAATAGGGATAAAATTTTTAAATACCAACATTAATTTTATTTTAAAAATGTTATAGCTAAATTTAGACTAGACCTGTCGAATAGTTAGAAACCTCTAACATGAAATGTACACAATATTACGAGTCTATTAAAATAAATATTTTAAGCCAAGTCTTACGAAACATCAAATTCCGTACACATATCTTAAAAAAACATGATTTGGACCCAATTATATACGAGATCGACGTGATATCAAATTCGAATCATAATTTATTTATATATATGTAAATGTTAAGTTGGTTTGTGTACGCTTTTTTCGTTCCTTATTTCGTTTCGTTTCGTTCCTTATTTCTCATCGATGCAACCATAATGTGTCACAGAAAAGCATGGTAGGGTCTAATCATCAATGACTAATACGAGTAATTTATAGTTAAACCGCCGTAAGCTTGGCCCTCCTGATAGTTTGGGGGACGCGGGGCGGGGGTGCATTCAACCAATTAGCTAGTGCGTCGCTGTCCGCCGGCAGTGACTGACGTGAAAGCATGGCTGTACGTGTTATTTTTCTTAAGACTGCTACACACGGTATTATTTTGCAACACGGATAATCTGCCGACTCTGCGTCACAAAAAGATTTATAAACTTGAAGTTCGGTTTACAGAGGTTCTATTGTTAAAGTTCTATAAGTATAAAGAATTTTTATTATTTTACTTAATTTTAAAATTGTATCTGAATATAATTTACATGATGAAGATAAGGTGATTTTATTAAAATTATTTTACAGTATTAAATTTTACAATTAAGTATAAAACCTTATAATACACTGATATTATAACACATGGAAATAAATTCGATTTTTATTACATCTACACAGATTAAATCTCAAACAAATAAATCTGAAGATATCGAGTTAGTTCATCGTGTCATGTATAGCCGAGCGCATCACCCGCCCCGCGTCCCGCAAACCATCAGGAGGGCCAAGCTTACGGCGGTTTAACTATAAATGTCGTTGTTTAGACTTTAGTACCATGACAGATCAACGCATACTTTTTACTATGGAAATTAATCGTTCTTGCATATTTTTTTTTAAATTCTCTAAAGAGTTTCGTTTTAAATCTGTTTATAAACTTCAAATATCCTAAGTTTAATATTCGTCCGTGCGCAACTTTTATTAAAAATACTCTAAAAGAATTTACTTCACGTATTAATGCATATATTTTAATTATATTTATTTACAATAGCGCGTTTTTAAAAGATTACAAATAAAAAATATTTGAAACTGGCTGGCTACCCTAATTTAGATTTGACAATATCCGTATGAAGGTTGTCCGTAAGAGAGCGTCGCGAAGATCGCCGAAATGTTTATTTAAAAAAAAATCTGTAGCGATGTACAACAAAGTGATAAAAAAAGAAACGGTTGTTTTTTTTTCATACCATTCGTGACAATAAGTTTACGAACAATTTTTTTTTTGTTGCGTTGATCGCGTCGGCATTCAAGTTTTGTATAGGGAAATCTTTATCCCTTTCTAAACGTTTAAAAATTGACACAATTATTAATTAAATAATCACATCAGAAGCCTTTAATAGTCCACTGCTAGACATAGGCCTCTCCTTAGAGAGCAGGTTTTGGCCTACCATACCACGCTGGCCAGACTGGTTGGTACAGGTTTTGTGTCAATTTTTCCTTATTTTTACAATGCTGTTGTTTTGCTTGGCTGTGCTGTCACAATTATTAATGGTATTAGGTTTAGACAGTCACCCATTTAGACAAAAACATGTATTTTATTTATAGGAAACGATGTTATATTAAATGTTTTGTGTAAACGTATACTGTATACTACTGCAATAATCACTTATTTTTACAAGAATAAAGTAAAAAATTCATAAATATGTTTAGGTGAACAAAAGTAATGTAATACCTGTAATTAAACGTTTCTACTTAGAAAAAAAATGAACCTAGAAATTACGAAATCATCTCGGTGTATGTTAAAATTTTAGTGATGAGTGTTGAATTCAAATCGACGCCCCCGCGAATAATCCGGTTTTCGTAAAAGTGTAAATGTTCAGGAAAAATAAAAAAACATTTTTCCTTAATAACTCTATTAAACAACAAGTATCAGAGTCTTTTTATATCGCATATGGAAGCTAATTTTTTCAGCTATCTGGTTATTTCAACAAATTAAAGTAGTCCCAAGGGCTGCGTTATAATTTAGCTGGATACATTTTACTATATTAGTGTAGGTCGAGCTCTGGTCAGTTATGTCACTTACCATATTGTTCGTGTAAATTTATATTTTCGACGGCAACAGTAAAATCTTCTTGCGATATTATTCGTGTAAATTTATATTTTCGACGGCAACAGTAAAATCTTGTTGCGGTATTATTCGTGTAAATTTATATTTTCGACGGCAACAGTAAAATCTTGTTGCGATATTATTCGTGTAAATTTATATTTTCGACGGCAACAGTAAAATCTTGTTGCGATATTATTCGTGTAAATTTATATTTTCGACGGCTACAGTAAAATCTTGTTGCGAGATTATTCGTGTAAATTTATATTTTCGACAGCAACGGTAATATCGTGTTGCGCTATTATTCGTGTTATTTGTTTTGTATACTGAACATTTGTAAAAAGTAATTATTAGGTTATTCGATTGTTTAACAGTAACGTACATTTTATTCTTTGGACTATTACTGTTTATTCGAATAGGTTACTTAAGTATTATTTGATGATTATTATAGTATATTTTATGAAATAAAGGACATTCTAGTAAATGAAACAACTTTGGTTAGTTTGACAAAACACGATAGTTATTATTATCATAAAAAATAGACACTGCACTGAAGACACGACTATTACACATGATTACACAATCATGAAAATTATAATAAGGTCCTATTACAGTTAAAAATCTTAATCAGAATTCTCATCGTGGCCTGATTCAGTATCACAAAAGCTTAAATTCCTATAAAATGGTTGATAATGGTGGGGAATTGCTTGGGAGGCTTAGGAGATCATTATACAAAGCTTTTTGAATAGGGAGTGGCTTGTCATATTCTGGCTTTAATTCAATACTTTCAATTGTTTTAGACACCTGTTTCTGTCGACGCTGTCTATTTGTCAAAATCATATTTGAAAAGAAAACAGTTAGGTTTACTGTATCACACTGACCTCCATCACATCGGAGCATCGTACTTTTTCTCCTGTTTTATCTTGAAGCCATCTTTTGGGTTCAAAAAGTTCTCTAATGTTGAGGATATCAGATTGTTGCATTTCTTTTAGGAAATATTTGTCTGCGGAGACTTTAGCGTTCATTATGATACTATATACTTGGTCCGGTGTGTACAAAACTTTGTTTTTCAGAGCTCTTTCAATACATGCGTGCATTGAGTCGCCTTCATTTTGGCTGGGCATAGCCAAAATGAAGGCGACAACAACCAACAAAAAACCGATGGGTAATTTCAAATTGAAGAGTCATTGCAATGTAAAGATATAACGCAAAAATGTATCTGTTTTTTTTATCATCATCATCAAATAATACTTAAGTAAACTATTCGAATAAACAGTAATAGTCATAACAATAAAATGTTACATAAATAAGTAAAACTATTTACCCGAATAATATCGTAAAGTAATTTTACTGTCAAATCATATTGATATTTTTTTTCGTATCGTTTTCATATCTTCGTAAATAAAGATAGAAAAATTCTGAAAAAAATTACATGGTGTATTTTAACTTCTAGATGCCGAAAAACGCATAACATGAAAAACCCCGTAATAGGTCATTACCGGATTATTCGCGGGGGACGTCGAAATATATAATTGAGGTAATTTTAGACTTGGCGTTAACATCGCAAGTGACGATATACATTGACACATTTTAACTACATACACTGCTATCGAATATTCACAGTAACATACACGCGTCAATGATATAATATAGGTACTAAATTTAACATAATATATTAAACTTACTGAAATCTTTCTTAACAAAATGATCTTGTTTTTCAACCCATTTTTCCAAAATGTTTATTGCTTCTTCAATTCTCCCTGGCATGTCTAGATTATATATTTTTCTTATCTCTTGTACAGCATTTGGACGCCATTCTAACAGATGGCTCTTTGTCAGTGATTCCATTTTTGAAATTGATGAAAATAAATTTGATAATCTATGCTGGTTATACGAGTATAATCTATGTACCTAAGGTTTATATATCTGGTTGGCACAGCTTTTAAGACTTATGATAAACAAATCTAATATTGATTTAAATATCGATTAACATTTGTTTAAGCGTGCTTATGGGCCAGCTTAACACCGCGCACTGATTATGCGAAGCAGCTTCCAACATTTTAAATAACAAAACACTTGATATTAAGGAAAAGAAGCAACTTTTTAAATTTGAAAAACCAAAATACATACCTATATGTCTTATAAGGTCCAGGGATAGGGAACATAGCTACTGGTAGGTGGTATCCGAGGCAATTTCCGAACAGAAAAAAAAAGGGATAAGGAACATAAGTTAAAAAATAAATTCATTCTAAAATAAAACAACACCAGATAAATGAAATATAAATTTGTATTGTTTTTATTAAAAACATATTTATTACGGTGGGCGTATACATAATGTAAAAGCAACTGTAGGAATAAATAGAAGTCGTTGGGGGCCAAGTTAGGGCTGTACGGCGAATGACCCGTTAATTCCGTATTTTGATCTTCCAAATACTGAGTTGTTTCGGCCAATGTGTGGCAGCTAGCATTGTCATGGTGAAGATAAAATTCTGCTTTGTCGGTTATTCTTTCTTTAAAGACTTCTGGCAAACAAATGGTAGTGTACTATTCAGATTTAACCCTTTTATAATTCTCTAGTGGCACTGTGGCCACATGTCCATTTATACAAAAAAAAAACAAAGCGACCATTTGATTCAAAGTGCTTTTTGAACGAATGACGTTTGTTGGGTTCGGCTTACCTTTGAACACCCAAACCCTTGATTGTTATTTAGTTTCAGGATCATACGCATATATCCAAGAATCATCACCTGTGTAGATATTATAGACTATTATAGAGCGAAGTCCAGTTTCGGGGTAAGGTCAAATTGGCTTCGAAGAAGCTCGGTGTGCTGAAGAGATTGGGGCAGTAATTAACTCCGGCCCACCGCCTTCAGCTCTATAAGGCGCAAGTCCGGCCGCATATGGAATACTGTTCTCATGTCTATGCAGAGGTACCTCTGTACCAGCTTCTCCCTCTGGACCGCATCTAACAAAGAGTGGCTCAAATCGTCGATAGCCCAAACATCTCCGATCGGCTCGATTGGTAGAGATATGACTTCACTCTGCATTCTCTATCGCATATATTATGGAGAGTGCTCCGAGGAATTGTTCGGACTAATACCAGATGCTGCAAAATTTTCATACTCATTACCTGGATAGTTGGCGCACCACTACTGTGCACTTTTTGAGACACACAACCAATCTGTATAGCGGTTTATCGTCTGCGGTATTTCCAGACCGATACGACCTTCAAACATTCAAGGAAAGAGTGTACTCATTCCAAAAAGGCCGGCAACGAGTTTGCGACTCCTGAGTTGCAGACGTTCATGGGCGGCGATGGTCACTTTCCATTAGTTGACCCGTCTGCTCGTCTGCCTCCTCTAACATAAAAAAAAAACATACATTTTAAATTAATAACATTTTAATTTAAAAAAAACATCCGCAGTCACAATAAATATTTTTTCTTCTGACTCGTTTACTTTTTCGGAACAAAAATTTCTGAAGTCTCTATCAATAACAACGTGCGAAATTGCATGATAGTAGGTTAAACAGTTACAACTTAAAAGTGTAACACACAAACTCATATTAAGGCTTATTATAGTAGTTGTGACTAATTAGGATATACGGTTGTAGTCACGAGTATATTTCGTTTCGGGCAAGACATGGACTTTTATCTAAAGTAACTTGCTGAACATTATTTAAAATATGAGGAAAATCCGCATCCAACTTCTTAGTTAAATCTGTTGATGTGTGTTTTAAAAATTTCCATCATAATAAAAAAAATGCTGGTCTCCTAACATAGTTATTTTCCGCATTATTTGATGACTGTTACTTAATATATCAATCAACAACATCTTACACTGTCCGTAACAATTTTAGACATGTTTGAAATGTATGTTAATAATAATATTTTATTTGTTTATTTATTTACACATCATGCACATTAGGTACATTGGCGGACTCAATGCCTAAGGCATTCCCTACCCGACAACCATTGGAAGATGCAGAGAAAACACAAAGTAAGTGCATTTTGGTTACAGTTAAATTTACATCCTACTCGTTGATCGAATATCTTACTTGTTGTAATAATAAAATTTTGTAAAAAGGTTACTTAAGTAATGGGTTACAGACGCAGATTTACTTTAATACTTTAGTACATAATGGGACTAATCCCTCCCACACACCCACCACTGTAACTCCTGTATACCAGGATCCACAGCAGTGACCCACGAACACACCGAGTTATGACACTCGGGAAGTCCCAGGAAGAAATTAAACTGACTTGGAACCCGCAACGAAATTAATCAGAAGAAAATTGGAGGAATTTGAAATACTGTAAATCCACTTCCCTCCTTAGCAAAGTGGGAGACAAAATGAAGTAAAATAGGCATACAGCCTTTTGAACAGGGAAGCACCACTGCCACAAAATATTATAAGTCCTAAGTGATGATGATTTCTATAATATGTATGGCAGAATCGCCTAAACGCACGGAAATTCATCCTAGTTGACACAAGATCCCCATAGTATACCGCCCGTATATATTTTGGTACATAAGTTAATCAAATAAAGCGATGCAAAAGAAAAAGTGGCATTTTTTGAGCCGAGCTAAAAACTGTTACATACAAACCGAATGTAATATACAAATGTGCATTTAAGTAAACACACTATGCAGTGCTTTAAACTTGTTATTCTCCATCCCATACATGGCCATGAAAGCTGAAGGTCAAACTGCATGACGACTTCTTTAAAAATTAGACAGTAAGTGTTCATATTCTTTCATCATCATCAGCCTATCGCAGTCCACTTGCTAACTCGAATTTAGTTTTCATATTTCACATAGTTTCAAACTGTTATTATTATTTACGAGAAAAATATTTTTTGTAACAGCTTAAAATTAAAAAAGAACCTATTAACCATCTGATAGCCAACTCTAGCAATAGTACTGCAACTTTAGCTATTAGTAAACTCAAATAACGTTCACTTCCTCGACTTCTAACAGAACTTGCCATTAGAAGTTTATTTCCTACTCCTTTTGTAAAGGAAATTGTTTTGTTAAAAGGTACTGAAGTCTGTTACTACATGTTTTCCACCCTTTTCTCTTGCATGAGAGCAAAAATGTTCCATATGAAAGAAGAATTCTATTATATGATTCTGTTTGATTTTTTCGCAATAATAAACGTAAAATAAACAACGTTTGAATAAGTTCAACCTTCTTTAAAACAATTTAGTTAAAATATTCTTTCAATAGTAATTTGTGCTACCTGGATTTAATTTCCTGTATCCATTCTTTAACCATAAACTGCTTGATTCGTGTGCCTACCTAATTCGAAAATAATTAACTTACTTTGGTAAGCACTACTCTAGTGTGGTATAGTTTTTAAATTTGTCAATCCGACTGACATGGTAAAACAGTGCTACCACTGCTTGATTGGCAGTGTCCATAAACAAACGAATCACCTTAAATAGTTTCATTGATTTTCCACTCACGATTTCTGTTTAAAAATGTTTGTCAATGTCAATGTTTGTTTGTCTATTTCAATAATTCTCAAATAAATGTATTCCTTGAGAATTATTGAAATAATAAACCATGTGACTACGCAAACAGGCCAACATAAGAAGCACATTTGTTCAAAGCACTAAAATATTAGTTAAGGCTTTCGTTTCAAGCTCTTGGAAACTGGCGGTTGTAAATCGGCACAGGCATATTAACGATTGAAATCCTTTTGCTAAATATTTAATAACAGATTGCTGCTATTGCACACAATAGCAGCAATCTGTTATTAAATAAAGTCATAGATCAACACACATATATTTATCTATGACTTTAAAGACTAAAACTATTTCAAATAATTTTTAAACTGTTTTTATAAAATAAAGAAATTTTGACCTGGACTTTGACATTTCTGATCGATGAATGATCAAAAATCCATGTTATATTTTGATAACATGTCACAATCGAAGTAAGTTTGTTCGAATATTTATTACACTAAGGCTATATATAAGGCTATGCCCATCAAAAACCAAATTGATCATTATAAATTTCAAAAATTCGTGTCCAGGTTACAAGGGGTTGAGGATAAAGTTTGTCCAATCCGAATTGCTAGATATATAATCTACAATAACATCATTAATGTGCTTATTTTCATTATTAACTTTTGCGAACGCGTAAATACAAACGACACGTCAAACGAGGAAAAGACACACAAAAAAGTCTACGTAAACAAACAGTTAAAATAAATAGTAATAATAATCTACCACATTCACACAACGCCATCTAGTCCCAATTTAAGCAGAGCTTGTACTATGGGTAATGGGTAATGGGTAATGGGTAATGGGTAATGGGTAATGGGTAATGGGTAATGGGTAATGGGTAATGGGTAATGGGTAATGGGTAATGGGTAATGGGTAATGGGCATTAGCCATTACCATTATTGAAGTATATATGTATTTATATTAATAAATACATATATACTTTTTTTTTGTAAATACATACATATTATACATAGAAACACCCAGACCAAATCAAACATTAAATGTTCATGCACACAAATGTTTGACTTGAGCGGGAATCGAACCCGCGCCCTCTGGAATAGTAGTCCTTTAAACAAACCACTACGCCATCCGGTCGTCAAAAAGTATAAAGTATTGTATATACCCATTTTGTCATAATGGTGGTGACAGTGGTAGCGTATGCGACTGCTGTGTTGAGATGAAATGTTTGTATGATCTGCTAATATTTGTTTCGGAGTTTAGGGCCCGTATTTTAAAAGACGTCTCAAGTGTCGGTTGAACTCTGATTGCCTGAAACTAGTTTTAAGTGTAGATCAAATCTTAAGTATCGATCTTATTATAGAACGCGTTTTAAGTTTTACTCAGTTGAAACTAGTTTCAAGTTTTGATTTGAACTTACAGTCTGTTCTCAATTACGTTTCCGCATGATTGACACTAATATCCCGCATTACGCAGCTAATTATTAAAAAAATAATTTTCTTTTACAAAAATAATTTCTGTGAATTTGTATATAATATACTATTGGCTAGTGTAGCAATGTTAACATATTAACAAGCTTGTTGTTTGTTCAAAATTAAGTATAACAAATATTAAAATAAAAATGACTAGCTGTATGAATAGGCTATAACGGAACGTTCAAGTTATTTATCAACACTTGTCATGTTGAAATGTCAAACGATGTTTTTATTTGATATTTCTAAAATTTATATTACTATACTTTTAACATAAACCAAAAGGTTGTGGTAATTTAAACTGGTAATGCGTGTGTAAAATGTGAATTTTGGTGAATTTCATATCAATTAAGGTAAATGAAAGTGAAATTGATTATAGTATGCCAATTAATTCTTTCGTAAATAAAGTAAAGTAAATCTTTCGTAATTATTCAAAAATAAATCATCGTAAAACACATTCATTTTCCCTAAATGCCCTAGAAATCACCGCTTGAGATTAGTTTCAGCTTGTCTCACGTAAACAAAGATCACAGCTGTCAAAATCTATACCTGAGTAATGATTTCGACATAAACATCGTTCTAAAATAAGCTATCACTCACTTGAGTATGGAGTGTCGAATCTCGTTTTAAGTGACGTTCAATAATAAAATCTCTACTTAAAATTAGTTTTAAGACTAGATTCACGACTGAGACAACTTTTAAAATACGGGCCTAGGTGTTTTCTATGTAAAATATATACGTTTTTACAAAAGTATATAAGTATTTTCTAACAGTCAATTTAGCTTTCATAGTACAAGCTCTGCTTAGTTTGAAACTAGATGGCGTTGTGTGTTAGATGTCCGAAAATATTATTATACTAGCTTGTGCCCGCGACTTCGCTTACGTGGAATTTGAAAGTGCTGCCTTAGTGGGTTCGATTCGTGCAAAATTGTATGAGAGAAAAAATTGTCTAAGTTACTCCTTATGTAGACAGCTACCTGGTAATTACTTTTTTTATGTTAGAGGGGGCAGACGAGCAGACAGGTCACCTTATGCAAAGTGACCTTCGTGTTAAAAATATTATAGTAAAATAAAAAAAGAAGAAAGAACAGATAGAAAAAAACTGGTTTTTAAGAATAGGTATCGTGCAAATAACCGTGTGAGCATGAAAAACACTATTATTTTGACATTACAAACAGACACATATTTTTTTTTGTGTAGATATATTAAATATTATCAACTAAAGTGACAGTGATATTTATATACAGGTATGTAATTTACATATTTATTTACTTCTTTCTTAGTGTTACTGTATAATTTGTAAGAATTTAATACTGTACTTGGTCACGTTAATGTTAAAGCAATCTACTTATTTATAAATAATATTAAATATAAGTGAGTGTGGTGTCGAATTAAGAATACGGAGTGTCACCACCCCTATTAAACCCGTGGGTGTCATAAAAACCGACTCAGGGAGCAAACTACGCAGGACAGCACTGCAAAGTTAATGAAAAGAGCGTAATCCTTCCTAAAAATCATGGGCGGCGGTAGTCGCTTTCCATTAGATGACCCGTCTGCTCGTTTGCCTTCTCTTCCATAAAAAAGATATAGGTATATCAAGCGAATATTTTGGGGCTGAAAACGTTTTTTTTTTCGGCATTTTTTGTATAGATTGGGGGGGACATAAAATTTTATAAAAATGGTGGAAGAAGTACCATTCTAAACATTAGATACAAGAATAGTTTGGGGACTGTCCTAAACCATACAGATGGCCTTAAAGTATACAATATCTATACAAAGAGATATACAATTAATACATGTTCATAGAGACTATAATGTATTAATTATGACTTATTGTATAAAAATATGTATATCTCAACCAGTCAAAGCTCTTGTGGTTGATATTTTGACCTGTGATAATACTCGTAGGTAGTAGGTTTAGGATAGTTTTCACATTAAAACTGTGATTTCTCTGTTATTGATATCATTAAGGAAAGTAATGATTTTATAGACAGCGGTATACATAATACTGAGATAAAAAACGTTCACCGATAATACCGTTTGTTGTTTTTATAAATGGCTATGACCTCTTTTTTGTCATTTTTTAAAACAAGTTTAGTAGACACATGGAAAAAAAAACAGTTATACGCAGTTCGTTGAGTGATGAGTCATTTTACTAGCTGATGTTTGTACAATATCAAGGTTACTTGTAGTTTATTAAATTGAAATAAAAATAAATGAAAGAAAGAACATAAGTGATTGTCGTCGAACAATTTCTAGACAAGAATATCTTAATTGGAGACAATGAACACACTGATTATCATGCCTGGCCTATTGGTCTGGTAGTTAGTAACCCTGACTGCTAAGCCGGAAGTCGTGAATTCGATTCCAACCCAGGACAAACAATTGTGTGATGAGCATGATCATTTGTTTTGTCTTTGTTTAATTTATCTATAGGTACTCGTAATATATATTTAGAATATATAAGTATGTTTATCAGCAGTCCGGTTACCATAGTAGAGGCTCTGACTAATTTGGGATCAGAAAGCGTGTGCGAGAATTGTAAACTTATTATTATCATCCTGGACTGGTCCCAATATTATTTGGTGTCCGCTTAATTTGGTGCATTGTAAAAGTTTTCACCTGGTTTTTTTCATGGTCCACCTGCATGATGCTAATCTTCCTTGGGAATGTAATCCGTTCAAGACTTGACAAAAGAAAAAGATTAATTGGAGCAAAGGAATACGGATAGAGTGATGGAAATAATCCGTATGGTGACGAATTAATGATACGGAGTGCCACTACCTTTGTTCATCCCATACGTGTCGTAACAGCCAACTATGGGAGCCAACTACTACGAACAACAGCACTGCAATGAGGAGGAAAACGACAACGTATTAAAAGTTTAAAAGGAATTTTTAATTTATACGTCCCCGGGAAGAAATCTTACAAATTTTGCACACTATCATAAGATTTATTTATTAGAAAGAAACATTAAATTGCCTCCTCCTGTATATCGCTATATTCCTCCTCTGCTATTTCATATTATGTCATTTTACAGCATAATCAACACGTCGACATCGACGGACGCGTTAAGGCATACGGTAAGGACTCAAGATAAATAGGGTATATGAAATGAAACATCACCGAAGAATGAGACAAATTATTGCAAAAATATTCTTTCTCCTAACAATTAGAATTTTAATTTATCACACTAGTCATTACTTGCTTCCTTAGTGTCATAGAACTTTAAATTTTATATCAATCTACAGTTAAATTTCTGAAAGAGCCAGGCATTCCCATATATTCCTCATTAAATTCATTGGATCGCCTTAGTTTTTCGTTGGTGCAGGCTTTGTTCATTATCTTCAAGTAGTTTACGTTTTCTTCAGTACTCAATTCTTCTATCCAGTCAGCTTAATAGGAATAAACATAATTTAACGTTATTTCAGTTTTATAATAGTGCTCTATAAACCAATATTAATTTTAAGTAAGATATCATGTAATGAAGAAATGATTTGAGGTCTAGCAGTCATATTTGATTTATATTCCAATCTCGTAATCTAATACCAAAACATTTAAATTAAACTGCACTAATGGCTTAGTAGTTTAAGCGGTCATCTCTTCAGTTCCTACTGCGCTGAGTGTTGGGGACTCGATCCTTACAGACTATACAGGACAGACAGTCCTATACAGGACAACACTTTGTGTTATCCACAAATTATTGTTTTGAGACTGGGTGTTCTTTGTATCCGTATCAAAATCAATGTTTGAAAAGACCTACGCGACACAGGATATACTCGTATTCCTAATGCGGGAATAGTCTTTTTAAAAAAAAAACCTTAGGTTAACTGTTTGCTTTTCATTCCGGTCTCGTGTCTCTCCTGACAGCCCCCCCCCCCTCCCCCCGAATTCAGAATCTCACCCCGGGGTAACATTTTGTATTCTGATACAGTCAGTAAATATTCATTTTTGAATCTAATGTATAAACACCAAAAACCAAACATAAATACTGACGGTATCTAATGCTGCATAAATGTTTTTGTGTCACTTTTATATACTGGTATCCGTTATGAACATTAATCAAATATTACTGCCAACTCTATTAAAATGAGATTTTCGGATAAAAAATCCGGTTTAAGTATTATAGTGTTATATTATCAAAGTTATTAACAGTGATAATGTAGTATAAACTTCACAACTGTAGAAATAAATAGCAAATATTGTGATGGACCATCTTTGTGGTGACGGATTAAGAATACGGATTATCACGAACCAACCCGTGGGTGTCGTAAGACCCGACTTTATAAAGCAAAAAGGCAGGACAAAAGCACTACAAAGAGAAGAATATCTTTACACAAACCTATATATACTATAAAGAAAGTTTGAGTTTGAAGTAAACGAAGAGGGCTGACCCCACCACCATGTGGGACGAATAGTCGGGAAGAGAGATAGAGGCCAAACGAGCAGAACGGGTCACCTGATGGTAAGAAAGACCTAAAAGGTAAAGGAAAGGTATTAAAGACCAAGCAAATGACATCACACATATTAAGTCTTTAACAGTCCGCTGCTGGACATAGGATTCTCTTTACAAAGAAGGGCTTGGCCTACGTTACCATGCTGGCGGGTTGTGTCAAGTTTTCCTTCTCTTTGCAGTGGTGTTGTCCTGCGTAGTTTGCTCTCTTAGTCGCTCTCTCTTACGACACCCACGGGATGAAGATTGGTAGTGATAATTCTTAATCCGTCACCGTCAAGCAAATATTAGGTATAATAGTATCAATTTCAGTAACTACTCTTACCCAGAATTTCAGAAGTAGGCCTTTCCTTTCCCCCATACTCCACAGGAAGAATATCTTTATCAACCTTTTGATGTAACTCTTCTAATGTTTTAACGACTTTCATTCTTTCAGAAATCTTTTGACTGAGAAATTGTTTTACCAATGTCACTATCAGATCTACGGCTTTTGATTGTGTTAGCAGGTATATTCCTTTTAGTCTTGTCCCATAGCCTTCCTGTAGAAATAAAATTTCAGTGAATGTTCCATAAACATAAAAACACAATTTTAACAATGTTACTGTGAATAATTCTAATAGTCAACTACACAGATCATAAATTATTTATACATATATATATATATACACCTATTTTTAAGCCAGTAATGCCTGAGATTAGCGCGTTCAAAGAAACTATTCAGTTTTATAATATTAGTATAGATTCTAATAATACAATCCATTTATAAATTTTAAACTATATGATACATTTTTTTAATACTGTTAAAAAGGAGGCACTGTCAACCCGAATGACTTTTAGTGCATTTTACGCGATATTTTAGTTATTTGTGAATCGATTTCAATTAAAAAAATTGTGGTTTCTAGTTGCTGAAGTAGAAAGTCGCCTATATATTAGAGAAAATATTCCACCTACAAAATGGATGAAACTAATGCAGACTACACCTTTTTATTAATCATGATTTAAACCCATTGAATTCAGTATAAATTTATAGTTCATTATTTCATTTCAGTTCATCATCACCATCAACAGTCTTTATTAGTCTACTGATGGACATAGGCCAACTAAAGCATAGACAACTACAAATTCATTTTTTTTAAATTTTGGACGTGATTAATTAGCTTCCTATAAAAATCTGTAAAGCAAGTCTGAAATAAAAAACCTTTATACCTAAAAGGAAGTTAAAATTTAATTGAATCCCTAATTTCAATAACCTGAAATAATTAAATGTCAGTATACTAACTATCAATATAGACACATATTGCTGAAATTGTATCGGGTTTAGTTTTGTGACCATGTCAAGAATATTAGTTTGTTGGTAGTCGTATACGATGACGAAGCCATTAACATAATCATGTGTCTTTAAATACTCGCCAAGCTGAAAGGACAAAACAAAAACATATTACTTAACTGCTAAAAAATAATTAAACATATTAGAAAAATAAATAAAATTGTAGTGTATGTTTGTAATGTCAATTAAATAGGTTTTTTTTAATGCTCACACGGTTATTTGCCTGTAAAATGCTTAAAAACCAGATTCAGATTGTTTATTTGCATAACACAAGTATTAATGACATGGTATTCAATTCACAAACAGGTTCACTGTGCTTTACCACTATGGGTGTGCAAATCTTCAATTTGTACATTTATAATTGCATATAATTTAACATAACTTAAAATAACCTAAAGGTATATTATTAGCATCATTGATTACTATAAAAAGATTGTGATACATACAATGTCAAATATTCAAAGTCAAACTAAAGTCAAAATAATCAATTAATGTCAGGAAGAAAAAACTATGATTATAATAAATTAAAAAAACACTACAAGTTGTTAGAGATAAAGTCTAATACATTATAATAACATTTTTTAATGAGGAGCTTTTTAATTGAGGCTTAAATGTACTTTATAAATTTAATGGAAAAGACTAAAATAATGTGACACTCAAAACATATAAAAAATATCTTCTGGTTTGTTTGAAGTCGGTGCTAAGACGAATAATAGCGGAGGATAGGTGTTACTGTAACACACATTGAAGCTCAACCATATTTTACCAGTGGCGTGCAAACATTTTTTGTATTAGGCTAAGAAATATGCTTTTAGACTCAATCCGTAATAATATTAATTTTAAGTCTTAACATAAGGTAATAAAAATCAGTAATGGCACAATAGTAAACATACAATACAAACTCCCTCCACTCCAGTTTAAATATTTTTTGCTTGTCTGTGTGTCTGTTTGTTATAGGTAATCTTCGAAACGACTGGACCGATTTTGATATTTTGCCACCTATATAAGGAGTAACTTAAGATATTTTCACACTCAAAAAAGCCTATAAAATTTTGCCTGGTCCGGGAACGAAACCGAGGCCTCATGGACTGCAGTCCCGTACTACACCACTAAGGCAGCGTTTTTTAAATTGACTGCGGGTGGCGTAGTGGTTTAAGCGGTTACCTCGCCATTTACTACTACGCTGAGTGTTGTGGGTCCGATCCCTACAAAAATTCTACGCTAACGAAGTCTCACGTACCAGCTAGTTTTTATAAAAATCTGACGATGTACATACATGTATGTAAATGGAAACACACAATTCTCTTTCTTGAAATTTCAGCTTTCGTTAAATTTGTAAGTTATTATTAGCTGTCACGAATTTTCTTAAAATTGTTAGCACTTTATATATTTCAGTTCGGGCCTGCGGTCACTTCATTTAATTAGTCTAAAAAGTCTACTAAAAAGTGTATCGGGTTTCTCGGAGGCTGCGGTACCACTCTGGTCTTCTCGTCCCACATGTGCCGAATCATGGTTTTACCGCAGTGTTCCAGACTTCCACAACGAAACGAAGAAACCAAAGCGCATCTATCGAAGACACACTGAACTACGGAGTAACTGCTAGTCCTGTATCGCGATATGAAATTTTCTCACGCCGATTAGCATACATACAACTTCCCAACTTCGACCGTTGGGCCGCGGCCTGCCTGGCATGATTACCTACCCTGACTCTGCAGCGGTTATGATGGTAGATTTGAGTAATTAAGGCGTCTTCTTAATAATTAATAAAAACAATAAAATACTTACAATCATATTGTACTGGAAATACCCTAGAATATTGCTTTCTGTGAATTGTATTGTATCAGTAACTTTTATGAGCAATACACGGTAAAAATCTTCTGTTAATTTCGGCAAAGGTACCACGAATCTAAAACAGTATAATTATATTTTAAGTAATTTATTATATGTTCAAATTCATCAATAATGACATAAAGTTGACTGATGTGAGCAATATATTAACGTAGGTTAAAATTACTTTTTTTAATCCTTAAGATCTTTTGAATGTCGTTATGTCATGATTAGCCATTTTATTATTTAAATATTGCTCCATAAAACTACGTTTAGTTAGTTATTAATCAATTAACGTTACACGTGCGACCCTTAACAGCTTAGACTACTGCTTACAATCTCAATTCCATATACATAATCAATATTACTAGTCTGTTGGCCTAGTGGTTAGTGACCCTGACCGCTAAGTCATAGGTTGTGGGTCGATTCCCACCCAGGACAAATAATTGTGTGATGAGCAAGACCAGTTGTTCTAAGTCTGGGTGTAATTTATCTATATCATGTGTGTATTTATAAACTCTATAAGTATGTTAGTCAGTCTGGTTACTATAGGCAGGTTTTGTCTAGATGGAGTGTGAGATGAGTGAAGTTATTATTGGAACTAAGTTACTTATCGCGCGTTACACCCTTGAGCGGATGAGAGTGACACCGAAAAATGTGTAACAATACTTTTTTCCGACACTACAGCAAACGTCTACCAAAAAGCGAAAGGAAATTCGTTCCGACCGGGATTCATAGAACACTCACGCCGTGCACTTTTTTTGAAGTTTTCATATCCCTTTCATACAATTAACATCCCCTCTTATATACCTTTCTTTTTAATGTACTTCTCTCTCTCTTCTCTCGTCTCTTCTCTACTAAGAAAGTTATCTTATTTTATTTATTTATTCAGTAACAATAAAAATTGTGTTTGAAATGCTTACATGTTTACTTAAGTTTCTAACGAATTTAATTTATATAATGCAATACAAATAGATAAATATAGAAACAAACACATGCAGTCAAAAATTCAATGTCATTGAAATACTGTCAAAATTGTGGTTAGGTAATTTGAAGTTGTCTCCGGGTTTATTATGTAATATACCAATATGAATGTCGATAAATTTTTATCCCCAGTGCCCAGTCGACGGCAACAGAGTTGCCAAACATTAGGTTAAACATATTGCTTTACCTAGGCATTGTAGCAATGAATATATTTACGAGTACATATACCTTAAACATTAACCAAATAAGAATAATAGTTGTTATAAAATTTTACGAGTTATCAAGATACAAACTTGTACAAGGATAATTTGTGTAAATTAACTTCAAAAATATTTTTTATGGAAGAGGTGATTGATTCAGATGCTCACCGGACACGGTTGCTTCGGTGAGTACCTGAATCAAATCGGACGGGAGGTCAGGGCACAATGCCACCACTGTGGGTCCGACAGTCCGAGCGTCAAGTCCTGGTCGGACAGATTGGACGAAACTTGTCACCACCAGCACTGAGCAATGCTGGCGAGTGGCGAGGGATGGGCAGTCACGGTCTCCTGCGAAGACATTATGCTCCAGAAGGAGGCCGCAGAGCGGGATCGGGAGAGAGCTGATCCCGCTCAAAGGTGGCAGCAAAGGAGACGCGACAGAGGCTAGCTTCCCAATCACTGCATAAGGATCGCTGCTGCCTCATCTTGGGGTGATGTGGCCGCTGCAAACGACCCGAGACAGGTGACACTCCGGTGCGGCCGGAGGGTGTCGTCTAGGCCGAGCGCTATTGTGCCTCTTACTGTGTAGAGCGGTGAGGGGTGGGGCAACATCCCGCCCTAGGGTGATCATGGTCACCCTGGGATGTGCCTCAATCGTGGGGTACGGCAGGGAGGCCTCTAGAAGCCACCGATGCGTACCTGGAGTTCCTCGCGACTGCCGAGGTAGGCCGCCGCGGGGTTTAGTGGGTAGACCGGTTCTCCGGGAGTCCCACACACGTAATCCGTTTCCCCAAACGGAGGGTATGGTGCGAAAAGCATTCCCCGCATTAAAAAAAAAAAAAAAAAAATGTATTATGTATGTTATACACACAAAACAGACAGGACTCATAGCAATAATTACTCGGACCCCTTCACCATTACCCTGAACAATTTAAGGCTTAAACGCCTCCTCGCTCCCGTTACAATAACATTAAAAATATCAATACCAAATTGTTCACACACACTACTGAGGCTTCTAGTTGAACGAATAACAAAAGATTTTTTTCTATAGTTTATTATTATTCATATATTTTTATCTCAGAAGTATCTTTTTTTTTATGTCACGTAAAGTCAAAATGACAACATATTTTGGAGTCATGTTTGTTCGGGATGCTATTAGCTTTATTTTTTTTTCAGTTCACAGAAAAGCAGGAAAAACTATCAGCATGGTAAGTAAGTACCCCGGGATAGAGCCTGATCAGGCGTGGTGTCGATTCGGGGAGGACCTGAAATTACAAGGTCCGGGTCCTCCCCAGAATAAGGCGCCTGAGGCCGGCTGTCGGCGTGGTATTTAGTAAAAACACCACATACTGTTGACTCCTACGTCCCCTAGGAGCCAGAGAGCCAAAGGGATTTTGCAATCCGTCAAAAAAAGAAAAGGGTTTAACCGTAGCATTACTATATTTAAAAAAAAACTGTATGGTGTACAATAAAGTTTATTCTATTCTATGTCAAGAAAAAATACTTACCCTAATTCTAATACATCTCTCAATTCCGCTTTAACATTAGTCTTTGTAAAAAAGTGGGGCAATAAAGTCTTCATAGTGCACAGTCTGTCAATGAGTTTCTTCGCCTTTTCCACTGAACCTTTGGCAGATATTAAGGTCATTTCCAAATACGATCTTGCTGAAATTATGAAATAAAAATTATAAATAGACAGATTTGCATGTCTTTTCTTACCTGTATTGTACAGGAAAGAACAGACATTCAAAGCTGAGGGTTGGATTGGTAACCTGTACTACATACCTAGCTTGTCTTAGTGTTCTAATTTAAATATTTACAATTAGTCTTAATCTTTTTTTTTTTGGCTTTGTGTGGCTCTAAGTTTCAAAGAACAACACCACCATTTTGCCATCTTTACGCGACTTAGCTCAACATAAACATTTTTTTCGGGAATTTTATTGCAGTGCCCTAGATTTTATGCACCGTAACAGCGAAGAGTTATTGGGCTCAATGGGTAAGCTTGATCATCCAGGACGGAGTCTTGTGCCGCAAATGGGAAAACGTTAGAGGAGACAGCTGTGATCTGCAAAAGGTTGTCCCTAAAGCTAAGATACCGGCTGTCCTGCAGCTCTACTATAAGGGATGTTCAAGAGGCCACATAGGCGTTAAGAGGACCTTGTTAAAGATAAGGGAGAGATTTTATTGGATTCACTGTCGTGATTGAAGACTGGTGTTGCAAGTGTACCAGTTGTGCGGCCATGAAGGTATCCCATACACGTAGCAGGGGTGCATTGAAATTGTACAATGTTGGTAGAGGATTGCAATAGATGTCGCTACATCTATAGAAAAGTAGATGAATACATAACTGAACGTCTTTGCACCTCCAGATCGACCGGAAGCATACCCGCCAACACCGGCAAAGCCTCAGTGCTATCCGTCCTATATGCCTTGCATAAGAATATCAGTGGAAGTCGTTGGCCTTGTACTCGTAATAGTGCCCAACGAACAGCGCCTACGGTCGCCCTATCGGCCTATACGGGTGCAACATAGTACATAGAACCAGATTGACAGCTCCGTTTATATGGTCTTTAGTGTATTAACATTCTAGTTTCTCGACAACTGCAAATTAAAAGTCACAAGGGCACGTTTTTAGAAGGTAATATAGGTACGAAAGTAGAAAGAAAAGAGAAAGAGTAAGCTTTATAATACAGCTCTTTTAAACGTCAGCGTCAGTAAACAATTAATAATCAATTTAAAAATAAACGAGATACTAGAAAAACAGAGATGAGATGATCATTACAACCTATGTGAAGGTTATAAAAGTCACATAATTACCCCTATAATTATCCCTATTACAAGACCAGTCTTCGTTACCAGACACTACACTAGAAAACATTCCTGCTAGAGAAACTGATGGATAATGAAAATTACACTAAACCTAGTCGTGTCTTCTATCTAAAACGGCGTATACAAACCATTGTCTTTACTGCTAGTGGTCAATTTAATCCCATATATGTAATATCTTGAGAAGAGCATAGTGGTGGAGTGCCAGTATTATCCAAGTAATTGCGATGAAAGTGTTGAAATCGTATAATTAAAATATACAAGCGGTACCCTGCTACGCTTCGCTATGGATAAATGACAAACAAAACTGACACAAAATTAAATACATAAAAACTATCTTTGACGTGGCTTGAGTAGCGTGTCAAAATTTGATCTCAATCAACATATAAATATTTGGATATAGATTATCAGTTAAAGGGTTTTAAGCCACTTTTTTTTTCGTCATATGTTTAATTGCCTGTTGGTCTAGTGGTTAGTGACCGTAACTGCTAAGCCAGAGGTCGTGGGTTCGATTCCCAACCAGGACAAATAATTGTGTGATGAGCACGGTGAATTGGTCTGTGTCTGGGTGTAATTTATCTATGATGTGTATTTAGAAATATATAAGTATGTTTATCAGTAGCCTGGTTACCATATCACAGGCTTTGCCTAGTTTGGAATCAGACGGCTGTGTGTGATATGTGTGAAGCTATTATTATTATGTAATTAAATGTCCAATTTCTGAATCACTGTAGATTTAATATGCCTCTATCTACATCTTAGGGAATAAAGACGTGACTGTATGTAGTTTGTTAAATTTCTAAAAGGCTAAATACTTACAGAAATCCTTTTTTATAATATGATCCTGCTTTTTTAGCCATCTTTCTAAAAGGTCTATTGCTTCATCCATCCTACCGGGCTTATCCAAATTGTGTATCTTCTTTATATCTTCAACAGCGTTCGGCGGTAAATTTAGAAGACGTGTATTTGTCAGAGATTTCATTTTACTCTTTTCGTAAATGACGCAGCAATTAATACTTTTATGTAGACTTATTAAAGTTGAAATTATATAAACTTATTAGGTACGTTTTATTGCGTACTGTCGTGTTTATTACTGACAGTGGCCTTAGAGGACTAATCTAACCTTTTATGATATCTCCTATTTATACCAAGCGTTTATAATTGACAGCTACTATTTCTGTGTCATGTGAATTAGTTAAGTTAATCTTAGTTAAGTTTAATAAATTCAATTTGGTTTAAAATTAAGTTGTAAATGAACAAAATAACTGTTTATTGCTTTTTAATTGTATAAATAATGTGAATGTACAGAAAAGGGTCATGATTTGTATATCAAAAGGTTATATTCCCTGGTTTATATCACGAATTGTCACTACACCGGAGTAAGGTGCCATGTCGGACTCAAGCCGACTAAATTATTCAGTTTTCCGTCATCAGGTCTTTTGACAGGGTCGCAGAAAGGTTTTATAATATAGAAACAGTGTACTTCAAAGTACTATATGATTTTTGATAGTCTGTTCTACAGTAGTAACTAGTTTTAACTAAATTTATGTTATCGTTCTACAGAACCTAAATGTAGTTTCATTTTGTATTTAAAAAAATATTAACTTAAAAAACACAACAATGTTCTTTGCTTTTCACATATTTTTTTAACGAGAGATATTCTCAGTATCATAAAATATATATTATTGCGAAGATATAGTTATTAAATTTGCATTTTAATGCTATGAATACTCTATTTTTTCAAATACAACATGAATATATTTTTTTACAGGCTTTAAGACAAAAAAAAGACCCAAGTCCTAGATTCTACAGTACATCTTATTGAATCTTTTCCCAGCGATATATATAACAGGATAAAAAGATATTGGTGTCGTTACTTATTTCAAATACTTACAAGTTTAGTCCCTGCTAGACTTAATATTACTTGATGCCGGCTAGTACTATATACCTAATCCCTATTAGGTATACTAGTCGGGATTAAGGAAAATTGCTTGCAATTAAATGGCTTTAAGCTCAAGGTATTTCAAAATTTAAAATAAGTGAGTTACTGGATGTAAATATAATTTTAATTCAAAAAAATAACACTTTCTTGTGCTGCCAATTTTTCGACTTCTTCGAATGCTTCGACTTTTCTTAACTTTCGTCGGCAAATCTTCAAAAGGAAAGACTAACTCTGTCGATTGGTTTTTTTATGGGTTCAAAGCAGTACATTCAGGTTTCGTCACCTGTTACAATATCATAGGCAGCCACTGACTGTCCTCCGTTAAACTTTTTTATCATTTTACGGTACCACTAAACACGTAGTCGTTTCTGGTCCTCCGTTATCATGTCATGTGGTATCCATCGAGAGCAAAGCCTTCCCAGCCTTCAGGTGCACATGTAACATGTTTTGCACTTGGCTCATTCCAATGCCTATCAAAGCTCGAATTTGCGAGCAATTTTTTTTTTGCCGGTTTTAATAAGTTGTCGTACGATGTCAATATTAGATTATGTAACCGCAGTGGCCGGCCGACCTTCGTTTAAATTCTCTAAACTACGAATACACAGAGCTGCGACATGGTGCTTTATCACCAAATGCCAATTAAAGTCTCTGGCAACTCTCTTGTTGACTTAATCCACAATAAAAATCATAAAAATTATTGAACGAAAATGTTCACGAGTTAAATTCATTTTCACATCACATTGAAAAAACAGATGACAATCTCGCAAATTAGAAATAAACATATTCCCAAAGAGTTTCATTTTCGACATTCTTTAATTGTTTTTTCATTATTTTATTGTAAGTGGCAAACTTCAGAGACTTTCAGTAAAATAAAATTAATCATTATTTTTTTATTATCGTTAATATATATTTTTAAATATATCACTAAAAAGTTTCGGCATATTTAATGCCTCGCTTTTTATTATTTCTAGGAAACTTTACACATCTCACACACGGCCGTCTGATCCCAAACTAGGCAGAGCCTGTGCTATGGTAACCAGACTGCTGATAAACATACTTATATATTTTGAAATACATATCTACATATTACAGATTAATTACACCCAGACACAGAACACAATATTAGTCCTGGGTGGGAATCGAACCATCAGCCTATCGCAGTCCATAACACACTGAGCGACTTTGAACTTGTGGAGTACCCGTGCTGTAAGTGTCCACGTTTTGGCTCCATATGTCATGACGGGTAGGGCTCGCGCATTGAAGACTTTGAACTTGTGGACCAGCCGTACCGTAAGTGTCCACGTTTTGGTTCAATATGTCATGACGGGTAGGACTTACGCATTGAAGACTTTCGTCTGAAAACACTGTGGGATCGACGATGTGAAGACTCGACGTAGTTTCCGAAACGCTGCCTAACCCAGCTGAATTCTTCTATTCAGATCGTCCTCGAAGTTGTTTCATAACATGGCGTACTTGAACTTATCCTAATAATAGTTACGCCCAATATTAATTCGGCATAACTGTTTAGGCACATTTTTTTAAGCATAATTACAATAAGCATACTATTGTGACCCTGACCTATTGTTACACTATGGTACCCAAGTTATATTGGATATATGTAATACCTACTTTTTTATTTATCAACGCATATCAGTTATTAAAATAACTTATATACTTGTATATTTTGCATGGAAATTATGAATAAATATGTAGATATAGTTAATTGAACTATGTTTCCACTATGCCTTTTGATCTCTAATAACTATTAAATATCTAATATACAATATCGTTTTTTTTTTTTTTTTTGAAAAAGACAACTCCCGCATTAGGAATATATCCTGTGTCGCGGGGGACTTTACAAACATACATGAAACGGACACAAAGAACACCCAGACTCAGAACAACAATTTGTGGATCGCACAAAGTGTCGTCCCATGTGGGGTTTGAACCCACAACACTCGACGTAGTAGGAAGCGGCGTGGCGACCGCTTAAACCACTACGCCATCCGTGCAGTCAATATGCCTTATTACTTTCTCCAATGAAAAATTTGAAACGAATAAACAATATTTGTACATATTTAAATAGGAACTAGTTGGCTAATAATGGAAGGCTTCGTTACATAGGAGAAGAACTTGTTCTCCTATTTTTGATCACTATAATTGAACTGCACGTGATATATAGGATTCGTCGATTCGATTATACGTCGATGGCCGGCGTTACCCCCCCCCCCACCCACCCCATGTATGATTCTGTCACAAAGATAGCTGTCACTTTAATCTGATGTAACTAATGTCTAAAGCCAAGTCGATAAATAAACTATAACAGATCAGAAAAGAAGATTTTTAAAGGCAACATTATCACAACAGGCCATTAAAACTTATAAATTGTAATTAAATCAAAATTATTTTTTTTATTTATTTTACATTTTGTGACCTGTGATTTTTTTGCACTTTTTACGATAATAACCTATTTCTGTAACTGTTTTCATACAATATTTTACACCTTTTTTTTTTCCGTGCGGAAATCCCCTCGGATACCACCTATCGGTGGCATTTCGGACACGAACCGACTAAAACCGCACGCCGTCTCGGGTACTAATAGCCGGGGAACCAGCTATACCCTAGAAAGGAAGTCCCTGGTGCACAATATTTTACACCTATATTTTTAACCTAACAGTTTTACCTTAACACAGGTAAACAATGGTTGTACATAATTGCCCAGCTCAGCTCAGCCCAGCAGATCATAATTGCTGCAATGCGCGATAATTAAGATTAATCACATAATTATATATTCGAATTAACCTTCGGTCACACTTCTGTAATTGCAATCTTTATAAATATACAGGGACCAGAAATTATTTAATTTTTTACTTATTTCAAAACAACTCCATTGTTATAACGGATAAAGAGCACACCTAGTAGTACCGGCACTCAAGAGAGTAGTGATGCAGGAGCAAAGAGTATGTGGTGTTTCCACTGAAAATCACCCCGAGCGTCGGCCAGCCTAACACGTCTAACTCCGGGAAGGGCCCGGATCTTGTGATTTTAGGTCCCTCCAAATTGATGTCCATCCCATCTTCGGAAAAGCTCGGTGCTTTCCCTAGTATGGGGATTGTTTGCGAGGACACATCTCATCAGATTTAATCGATTAGGACTTTGCGGTATGACGCCCTCGTTTAGCAGTTCTACGCGTATGCTAGCCGGAGGAGGACTACGCAGGACAACAACACTTCAAAGAGAATGAAAACTTGGCACAAGTCGTATACCAACGTGTCTGGCCAGCGTTGTATAATAGGCCAAAACCTCCTTTCTAAGTAGACGCCTATGTCCAACAATGGACTATTAAAGGCTGTTGATGATTACGATGATGACTGTCCCACGGTTTTGGTGTTTCTGCCAGGGAAGTGAATAATACAATTTTATCGATAGGAATAAGTACTGTGCTACAAAGGATCTAGAGTACTACAGAGGAATGTTGCCAATACCAAAGAAAAAATATTAAAAACTCGCAAAGTTTTGAAAACAAAAACCGTTCGTTTTCATATTATTTTTTTAATATTAATTTAATCGCAGTACATTCGACTCCAACAATATAAAAATATGAGTTTATAAAATCTTCACGTCTCTAGATAAACACTAAACACAAATGTAGAGCGAATCCGTCATCTAGAACTCTGTAAGACCATATTATTATAAACTATTTATTTCTTTTTCTATAGAGACCTGATGCTACTAAGTAATATTTGCTGAGATCTTCCTCTTAACAGTTTTGTAGAACCTTTATTCCTGTGCTTTGTTAACAAGGATTGGGAAACACCAGGCATAAACTCCGTTGAATATTTAGTAATATTTACTATTTTACGTCAATTTTCTAATACAATTATTAAGTGAGCTTTATTACTAAGAAAAATATGAAGATTCACTGTTACATATCATACTAATAACATAAATATATTTCTTTTGTTAAAAATTTTGTGATTAAAAAAAAAGTTGAAAGAATCATTTTTTATCAGTCAACATTGAGTTTGTTTGTGTTGTTGTTGTGTGTTGTTTTTGTGTTTTTGTTTGTTTTTACGTTTGAATGTTCTATATTTATAGAACACCTCTAATACACAATGTAAAGCGTTTTTTGTACCTATTAGAACCAAGATATAATAAAAAAAAGTAAACTACTGATAAGATAATGACTTATCAGTAGTTTATTTTTTTCTCTCTAGAAAATCTCTAGTAAACTCGCATTATACCACTTAGATAACCAAAACAAACCAAGATCTATGCAAATTTATAAATTACCACTGCCTAATTTTTTTCTACTTATAACTCAAATCTATTCTTATTAAAATTTATGATCTTCGTTAATCAACAATCATATTCCTAAAGGAGCCTGGTATTCCCATTAAATCATCATTAAATTGATCTGGCCTTCTTAATGTTTCGTCAGTGCAGGCTTCGTACATCATCTTAATATAATCTTGATGTTGCTTTGTGCTCAGTTCCTCAATCCAATCCGCTGTAAGAAAACATAATTCATTTATTTTGTGTGATGACAAAGTGAACATGCTACTCTGATGTGTGTTAAATCTACACAATGATTATCTTTTATTGCTTCCATACTAAAAGGTGAAGCAAGACTACGAGCACACACTAGCTACTACTCTTTAACAAAGCGGGAGACAAAATAACGTAAAAATATTTTTTATGTGGGAAGCACCACGAACATAAAATATTAAAGGTCCTAAAGTGAGCTTTCTTTGATTTCTATTATGTATTGCGGAATGGGTCAAACGCACGTGAATTCAACCTAGTTGACTCAAGATCCTCATAGTTTAACCATAGTATACAATCTGGGATGAGAGCATACAAAAAGAGCAAAAACGCACTTGAATCTCTTTTTTTTTTTTTATGAAGGAGGTGGCAAACGAGCAGACGGGTTACCTGATGAACCGTGACTACTAGTACCACCGCCCATGACAAGCAGACGTACAACTCAGGAGATACAAACGCTTTACCGGTCTTTTAGGTAGACGTACGCTCTTTTCTTGAAGGTTTGAAGGTCGTATCGGTCCCGAAATACCACAGACTTATTCCAGGGATTGGTTGTGCGAGGCAAAAAGTGTCTTGAAAAGTGCACAATGATAGAGTGCCAATTATCCAAGTGATGGGGATGTCATTTTTGCCGTGTGAAACGATGGCAGAAGGTTGCGGCCGGTATTCGTCCAAACAATTCCTCGGAGCACTCTCCATGATAGAGAATGCAGAGCGAAGCTACATCTCTACGTACATATTCTTAAGTTGCATGTGTCAATGAGTGGTGGTTGTAACTAACCATCAGGTGAACCGTCTGTTGGCTTGCCTCCCATATAATAAAAACAAAATATTCGTACCTGAAATTTGCTTATAAGACCTTTCCTGTCCACCGTACTCTTCAGGTAAAATTTCTTTAGGAATCGTAGTATATAACTCTTCAATCGTTTTAATCACATTTACTCTTTTAGAAATCTTCTCGCTAAGGAACTTTTTCGTAATGTTTATGAAGAAATCAACAAGTTTTGACTGTGTTAGCACATATATTGCTTTTAATCTTGCTCCAAAGCCTTCCTGGAAAATGAATTGCCAGGATTACTATTCGAATAAATAAAACCAATGTTTTAGCCATAGGTATAATAATTCAAAAAAATAATGTTCTGTTGTTTTTATCAATAATACACTTACTGTTAAAATAGACATGTATTGCTGCAATACCACTGGATTAATAGCAGTTACCATATCTAAAATGTTTATTTCTTCAAAGTCTAATATCATGATAAATCCATTTACATAATCATGCGCCTTTACATATTCAATGAGCTAAAATTAAATATTAAACATATTAATGTTATTTGCGGACTGTAGGCTTTGAATATACTACCAATATCCAGATTTACAAAAATAATGCTTAATGGTGAGACATGGCCAGCCTTATTGACTATACTATTATGCATATATTTATTTTCTAACTTTTTGCACAAGTATTACATGCATCGGCGGACTTAATGCCTAAGGCATTCTCTGCCAGTCGACCGATTGGGTGATGCTAAGAAAGAATGACGACTCAGGATGATTATATGGGTTTGCATACGAACCATGGTTAAGGTCTTTATTGAAACGAGCCAAAGCATATGAATACAATAACAATTCACATGAAAATTCTGGTGAAAATAAAAATACTGCTATAAATTATCCAGATGATAAATTCAAAGCTTTTGAGATTTTGTTGACAAGCTCTTATTTGCTTCTACTTACTAAATTTGCAGACAAGTCTTGGAAATCGATTTTAACTCCTACAAAATGTCTAAATGAAACTATAAATATATATCTCCAAACCGATTTCGTTTAGAGGAATATGCGCCCATGTTTTGGTAGATTAAAACACCATTGCGGTAATGGTAGTTAATGTATTTAAATAATACTAACTGTAACTAACCTGCTGCGATTCGCTGTGGCATATTGCGATAGAATTGATGAGAAATGAGAAATAAAACTGATGCGAGAAGCGGGTGGTATATTGTTTTAAATTTGAGATCAATCGGTGCAGAACTGTTTGAGTTTTTAAAGCGTACACAAACCAAATTATCATTTTTTATACATAGATATAGTATGGATGACAATGTCTTAATTTGGCATGTTGGAGCTGATCTGAAGATGGAAGCAGAAGATGGATAATAGAATAGAAGTAGTATTCGAGTTTGGGCTCATGTATTTTGTTCAGACGCTTGGTAACGATGGTCTGATGATAAAGCGAATAAGTCAATTTGGTTGTTTGCTGGTCGGTGGTTTACTATTAAAGGGTATTTTTTAAATTTATTTAATTACAGTTTGATCTGAATAAAATAACTAGCAATAAAGTACTTACAATAAAATTGTACTGGAAATACAGTAAGCAATGTTTTTCCATCATGGCTTTATCATGGAATTTTATTACTGATACTCGATAATAGTCTTTTGTTACTTTTGGCAACACTGCTATCAATCTAAAAAGAATAAATCCATAAAGTTACAGAATTTCGGGTCAAATAGAAGACTCCGTCAGAAATGCAAAGCAAATATATATATATATATATATATATATATATATATACTCGTATATACTATCCACTTGCTATATAGGTTTAATGATCTTGACTTATACAAAGTGAATACTACGAGTATATTGTAGGCACTGTTGTTTCCACTTATGTCATTCTGATTAAAAAAATGTGCAATGATGAATTAAATTTTAGTTTTAAATTTAATGTCTTAACTACATTTTACTCTATCTATTTACGATTTATCCGTCTGGTTACTGATTAAGAATACAGAATGTTACCACCCCTATTCATCCCATGGGTGTCGTAAGAGCCGACTAAGGGAGCAAACTACGCAGGACGATGGCACTGCAAACAGAAGGAAAACTTGACACAAACCCTATATCAACTCGTCTGGCCAGGGCGATATAGTAAGCCAAAACCTCATTTCTAAGGACAGGCCTATGTCCAGCAGTGGACTATTAAAGGCTGATAATATGTATGTTCATTACAACAGTTTTCATTAACATACTTACGCTATATCCAAGACTTCTTTACATTCCGTTCTCCAGTTGGTTTTTAGGAAGAACTGTGGCAGCAAAGTCTTGTAAGTGCATAATCTATCGATCCGTCTCTTAGCCTTTTCAACAGATCCTTTACAACTTATTATGGTTTTTTCCAAGTAGCCTCTAGCTGGAATTGAAAAAAAAATGATTTAGGACGAACGAACGAATAATATTTTATTATTATTATCAATATACTACATAATCTTATTTATTCCCTTTATATTTACCACAGTAAACGGCATGTTTTATAACGACCAGATATATTTTAATTCCTTATTTTTAAAAAGACAACTAGGTACCCTACTAGGGAAAAAATACTCAATCCTGTGAGACCCGGGAGACTTTACAAACATCCATGAAACGGACACAAAAAAACATCCAAAGTTTTGTTCCATGTTTGAATCGAACCCACAACACCCAACACAGCACCTCTTAAACCACCGTGCAGTCAAAATTATAAATGTGTTGTATTTGTGTTATTATTGTGTATTAGTGTAATTTGAGGCAATTTAAGCAAAATATGACGAATTGTTTTATATTTAAAATATCGAATTATTAAGTAACAGACAGTAGGTAAAGACTATAACGATTAACAGGCCTATTGGTCTAGTGGTTAGAAATCCTGACTACTAAGTCAGAGTTCGTGGGTTTTATTCCCACCAAGGACAAATATGTGTGTGAATATGGTGTCAATACTACGATTATTTATTTTGCATCTGTGTGTAATTTTAACTGTAATATGTATGTTTTTAGAAATGTATATGACTGCACGGATAGCGTAGTGGTTTAAGCGGTCACCTTGCCGTTTCCTACTGCGCTAAGTGTTGGGGGATCGATCCCCACATGGGACAATACTTTGTGTGATCCACAAATTGTTGTTCTGAGTCTGGGTGTCCTTTGTGTCCGTTTCATGTATGTTTGTAAAGTCCCCTGCGACACAGGATTTCTTCCTAGTGCGGCAGTTGTCTTTACAACAAAAAAAAAATGAGCAGATTGGTTACTATAACATAAGTTCTGCCTAGTTTAGTATCAAACGGCTGTGTGTGATATGTGTTAGGTTTTTTTTTTTAATGTTTTCATTGCTTATTATCAGCGAGCGAGTGAAGTTGCCGGAACCCGTAATAATGTTAGTATTTTCTTCCAATAAATATTTGTGTGAAACAGATACGTGTTTGGCATTTGTATAATTAAAATATGTCAACAGATGAATAAAATTATGGCGAAACCTCCAGAGTATGTAACATAGTTACAATTCTAAGCAAGTTTTGCCTAATCTGTATCAAACAGGTTCAAAACTTTTAAACTTAATATGTTTTTATGGATAATTTTAAACGGTCTCCGCATTTTCTTTATGTAATTCTACATTAAACTATTCACATATTATTCATAAGAAGAATAATATTATTAGTATTTTTATTTATTTTATTCATTAAACATATATTTCACTGTATGAAAAAATACTTATTTAAAAATATAAAAAATAGGGGATCACAGACGTCGGGTACGGAACCATCAATGACAGGAACCTCCACACTATACGGGCCGTGTCAAGGAGAACTGCCTTCCGCGGTAGACCCTTAATCCAGTTGTTTAACGTAAACCTCTCAAGCTCTTAGCTATCAATTCGTGAACAGATACGACTATCGGAACAATGATCACTGAATGCAAATTCTATATATCGATAATCTCGCGAGGTTAACAATTTTTTTTTGTTTTCTTTTTCAACTTTCACCAGATTCTCGTCATGAGGAACGGCAATATCGGCGCTCTAATCGATCTATCACCACAATATCAGGCTAATTGGCAATCTACTGCTTGATTTTGAATTCAATACCTTTGACCTTTGCCTTTGTAGAACCCCATAAGATACATGCAGCGAGTTTCATTATTGTTTTGTGAAACCTAAGGTGTAGGCATGTTTAGGCAGCCATATTGGATTTGTTTTTTTTTTTGATTTACTACATAAGCCACTAGGCATTAAAAACTAGACATCCCTTTGTTTGACTACCTGTAGAACTCTTATAAATCAAACCAATTTTTAGAGAAAGGGGGTCCATTCGTTCACAAAGAATGCTTCCTATGTATATTTTTAAAGAAATAATAAACAATATTAAGAAAAATAACTTTCAAAACCGATTCATTCAACAACTTAAGGCTATAAAGTTATAGGTAATCGTTTTATTGAGTTGTGATAAACCATTTAAGTTACTAGCTGTGTGCAGAATAATGTGGTCGCAAGGTAAACAAGATGATTAAAAAATATTTTCCTTGTAAGATATAACTAAATACAAAGTTGCACAGCTTATTAAAAGTGTCAAAAACTTTTAAGACATACAAGATAGATTATTTATTTTCAAGAATATTTCAGACCATAAAAAAAATGCTATTACTTTTATAAGATAATAACTTTCCATGTGATGCCTAGCCATTGGGAAATGGTCCACCGCAGGACATAGGCCTCTCCTTAGAAAGGAGGTTTTTGCTTACTATACCACGCCGGGCCAGAAGGGTGGGTATAGGGTTTGGCCAGCCGCGAGGGGGCGGCGTCCGCGTGTGCCGGATGTCGCCTAAAGAGAGGAAAATTTTGAGACGGAGCCCGCACCAGGAGCGGGCTGGCGCTAGGAGGGGTCCGGATGTCTTAATAACAGCTGTTCCCGGATCCCTCCTGTTACAGGCGCAGAGTGGCACACCGTGTGGTTTTAGTCGGTCCGAGTCCGACACACCACCCCGCCGCAAACCCCGGGTGGGGTGACGGTCCGAAGGGATTTCCACACGTTAAAAAAAAAAAAAAAGAAAAAAAAAGGGTTTGTGTCAAGCTCTCCTTCTGTTTGCAGTGTTGCTGAACTACGTAGTTTGCTCCATTAGTCGGCTCTTATGACAACCGTGAGATGAATAGCAGTGGTGATACTCCCTATTCTTGGATTATTCTATCCTATTCTTATTCAATGGAGAACAATGATAGAAAAATCTATGTCCAGAGGTATTTTCATTAAAAAACCAGCTCTATCAGATAGATGAGAACATTAATACGTTTTGGATACACTTCTTTCTTCATAGCATATACAAAGGTAGAGGACAATCATAGGAGAATTCATAGGAGATAAAATAGCTGAGTCAGAATTTTTGTATTGGCAAAGAACAATGGCAGAAACATATTTACCTAAAACTTAAGCGTTTAAAAAATCGAGTCACAGTAAACTTAATCAAATTTTTTTCTATGATTTATCATTACACCACCATGTGTTGTATAAGTCTTATAAGAGATAAGATATTTTTGAAGATTTTATTTGACCTAAGTACGTAATGTCAGATTCGCCATCACGTATAACTGACTAGGGATGCGTGGTGGCAATATTATATTATGGAACAATTTATCGATAATCGATTCTTATAGCTTTGGCTGAAATATTTACCGAAGGTTCACTATTATGATTATGAATTTGCTTCTGCCCACGTCTTCACTCGTACGGTAGAGTGACTGAATCAACATAATTAGAAATGATTTAAAATATTTTTGACTCTCTTTAAACGATTTTAAACACACTAAAGAAATAGAATATAGTTACGTTATTTTCCACTACACAGTGTGATGAGAAAAATACATTGTCATTGATAACGGCACATAAATAGACATACATCGATATTTTCAAAATGTCGATACGTCGTCGTTTAGTACATATCCCTTAATCTGTGGTTTAGATCCTGTCAAGTTCCGGACTCACCACGTTTGTAATTTTATTTTTGTTTAATTTAGTGTTAAACTCGAATAGATGTTATGCTTTTATTTTTTTTATTTCATATACTGTAATAATAATGAAAATAATATTTTCGGCTATCTGACACACAACGCCATCTAGTTTCAAACAAAACATTAACAATATGTTAGTACTTAACCTCGAAACATTCAAAATCCAATATCTTTTTTCCTAGACTTCTTTCGCAAGTAATTTTGATATGAGAATGGTCAATAATAAATTCTCAAGTGTTAAGGATTTTTTGATATTTAAACGCTAACATTTTAGTTCAAATAAAATTATGTATGGGGACCTGCCATTGTCCTTTGTTAAGGAGCTTTCACTATTTCAACATTTTCTTTAAAAAATTAAAAAGCTTTGATTCTTATATTTTTTAATTATTATGCTATATTATTTCTTAAGATTAATAGTTTCCAAAAAAAAAAAACTTTTGCTGAATCTTTATAATGATAGAATATTATAGATTATGTGGTAGAATATTATATATTATATATATTTTTTCTTATATTATAGGTCAAAGTATGAAATTACAATTTGTACTTAACTTACTTACTTATTTATAATTTAAACTCGATTTTTTCTAAGATGTAACATATTTATTTAATCAAATTATTTACCCTCATTATCTATATAGTGCTGCCATCTAAACGAAAGTTCATTTATGCCTTTACGATAGAACTGTGGGGATCTAAATTCGACAAACTGTGTGAAAGCATTTTGTATTGTTTCCTGGTTTTTTTTTTTAATACCTAGAAAATTGTCTAAATCACGAAAAAAAGGTAGTCAGTCGGAGCAAGCACTGCAAGCACGGAACAAGCTGGCGAGTTCGCCATCATTGTTCGGAGCTCGACACAGTAAAAATCTGCTTTTATTGCCTGACAAATCTATAAAGAAGAACACTATGTGGAGACCACCAATCAGTTACCATTGCCTTTTTATAGGGTAAGCTTTGCTTTAGGGCACTGTTGCGGCGTTTGTCCTGGGGTCAGCTATTGCATTTTTCGCTTACGGTTATCGTAAATAATCAACTTTTAATTATATGTCACAATTTGATCCAATATTACTTTTTTTTTGTACCGATTTAACAAGGCAACACAAGTTTCAGCAAGCTTTTCTTTCTGCAGATCAGTCAAATCATGAGACACCGATTTTTCATATTTTTTAATCTTATTAATTTAATGCAAATGAGTCAACTTTCACCATCTCCTTAAATTCAGCGTTATTCACCTGTGTGGGCGGTCTTACGAAAGCAGTGCCGTGTAGATAGTTTCTGCCGTGTTAGTTCCGCGTCAAAACTCGTATTCAAAAATTACTCGGATTTTCGAAGTGTCCATCTTTCATGCCTAAGCTGAATAAAAAAAAATTGAAAGTTGAAAATGGAATGTTGCACATTTTTTTAAAAGAAGAACCTTAAAGGTATTATCTGAAAAAAGTTTCACACGAAAATCTCACACCATGAAGGTTTATGTCAATTCAAAATATATAAAAGAAGTTTCACACGAAAATCTCACACCATGAAGGTTTTATGTCAATTCAAAGTATATATTACTAGACGACGACAATTTAATACTTTATTTATCCCATTATATACGTAACCCAAAAACTGTTTCGAATTAATTGAATTCTGACAAAATACTGGATCTACGTACTTAATTATAATTTATTTATTATATTTGTTATTTGTTCCACTCCTAACACTTTACGTCAGCATTATAATACATTATAGGTCAAAAATATAAAGAATCCGTTGTTAAATTCAACAAAAAAATTACTGAAACCGAAGCAAAAAGTTTAATGGTTTTTCACATAAATGATGGTACAAAAAGGAAAATAATTTTAAATGTTCTTGCCTCAAAATTTAAAGTTATTGTTAAATAGAAATAAATATTATGATTTAAAACGCTTTTTTCACACATCTCATACAAACTAGGCAGAGCTTATACTGCGGTAACTAGACTGCTGATGAACAATAATAAATTTCTAAATACAAACATATACATATTAAAGATAAATTACACTGAAACTGGTTTCTGGTTTAAGAATCTTTATTTCTCCAAAGAATTTACAAAATTCACTTACTGAGAAAACATACATAAAAGTAAACAAAATAAATCCATTGAGCGTTTGAATATAATATAAAATATAAGTGGGTAGTCAAATATATTTTGCGTAAGATTACGAACTTGCAAATCACTCGAACATAGAAAACAATGGGAATCCAAGCAACTGAACCAAAGATGTAACTTGAAATTATTAACTAGATGTGGCATCCAGATGGTAAGTACACTCTTCTAGTTTTTATTACTGAATTGGGGTTTTTTTTTGATACTTGAATGAGACTTGAGATTTTGTTTTTGAAACGCAGAACAAATGATAGTGCTCATCACACAATTATTTGTCGTGGGTGGGAATCGAAGCCACGACTTATGGCTTAGCAGTCAGGGTCATTAACCACTAGACCAACAGGGCTGTTCATACTTAATATTTTTTTAAGGCTTATATATGCGTGTGGTGATGTAGTATACCCATTATATACCAAGGCAGCAAACTACGCAGGATAACAGAACTGCAGAGAAGGAAAACTCGAAACAAACTCTATATCTGCCCGTCTGGCCAGCGTGGTATAGTAGGCCAAAACTTCCTTTTTAAGGAGAGGCCTATATTCATCAGCAGTGGGCTTTAATACAAGAATCTGCTATCAGAATACGCGACATAGACGAGTATAAATACCATGGGATAAAAGTATGTAGCGGAATGTAGCTTCAACCTATTCCTAAGAGAGAAAGGTAAACGCAAAACGGTTTCGCATTTATAATATGTATTCCTGAATACATTGTACAGAGATGTCAAGGCTCAAACTCAGATAAACTCGTAAATCTTTACTAAAACATATGTACATAAAATCTAGGATTAAGAAAACACATTAATATTTGCACTGAGCGAGTACATGGCAATTCAATCAACCAACACCACAAAATATAATTACATCGTAAAATATATAAACTATTAATTTTCTATCAGTATTTCATTGTAAATATTATTAAAATAGTCTTAAAAATTACTTACAGAAATCTTTTTTCAAAATGTGATCTTGCTTTTTCAACCAGTCCTCCAAGACGTCAACAGCTTGTTTTATTCTGTCAGGACTATCAAAATTGTACAACTTTCTTATTTCCTGAACGCCATTTGGTGGTAATTCTAAAAGATGGGAAGTCGGCCACGCTTCCATTCTTACTGTATAGGATATTAAAGTTTATTTGTTAACTAAAATTTTGTGTATGAAATTTTGATATTATAACTGTTTCTTATAACTGTAAGCACCAGCTGAATCTAACTAAGCTATGTCAAGGACGACACCTGTTATTTATGTGACTTTAAACTGCGACAATAATATCTTTAAACACTTTTATAAATATATGTGAGGTTTGGCAACACTGTATCGACGACAACTTATAGGCAAAATCGAGTTATATATATACCGTTGGAATTGGGAGAGGGAGCTGTTTCGAAGGGTCTTGCGTTCAGAGAAGGTTTTCAAGGGTTTTGGATTTCAATTCAATCGTAAATGGTGTAGATTTGTTTTTAAGTCATTTTAATCGGTAGCAATTTCATATTTATTTGGATATAAAACAACTTAGTTAAAAATAATATTTTTATTTTTAAAATCTCAAATAGGTAATTTTTTTTGGCGGAAGAATGCAATCGCGATTCTCGCTGCCACGTCTATTGGCAAGGAGAGAAACACGGGGGTGTCTGGCCGTCGGGGTGTTTTTTTTTAGTTTAAAAACTACATACTCCTGGCTCCTACATCCCCAAGGAGTCGGAGATTCGAAGGGATCTTCCACACCGTCAACAAAAAAAGGCCTTTTTAGTTAAAGAAGTGAGAGTAGGTATATTTAACGCGTTACTCATATACCTACTAGTTTTTAAGTAGTTTAAGTTTTTTTACAAGTACCCTGTATATTGTATTTTGTGTATCTTGTTTTTACACGCTTTATATTAGCTTCACTTGTATGTTTGTTTGTATGTTTGTAACCGACTCCTTTGGGCGTGATTTTGACTGACTTTAAACGGTCAGAATTCGTTCAAACTTTGTAGATATATCGAGGACCGATGACAATACACTAATTAAAAAAAAAATATAGTTTTAAAAAACTAAAAAAAAGGCTTTCTATAGAAAACCAAACTAAAAAATTGAGGAAGAAAAGCGTAGGGTGCTTTTTACTATTGACAACAGGCACCCAACGCTTTTTTTCAAATTTATTTTCTATTTTTTTAGTTTTTATAAATTTAAATATTGTGATTGAATGTCGAGTGTTATGATTCAATATCTCAGTGAACGTCAAGGATGAGACTATTATTTCTAGGATATGTGTTTTAACTTTCTCATGTACCTAAGTGAAATATTATTTTAAATTCTTATGAGAAATAAAGATATTTCAAACTAGGGTCTTAACTCATTGCTATCAATCTTTCAATCAAATTTTACAACTTAAATGTAATGAAACATCATGAATAAGACTTAAATTGTACGTTTACCGGGTTATGGTACATTTTAATACTTCGCCAATACCACAATGTATTTTACAACATATAATTTATTACTTTGTTAACAGAATCGTTAGTCATTTGCACAGATGGCGAAGTGGTTTAAGCGGTCGCCACGCCGCGTCTTACTACGCCGAGTGTTGCGGGTTCGATCCCCACTTTGTATGATCCACAACTTGTTGTTCTGAGTCTGGGTGTACTTTGTGTCCATTAGATAAAATATGTTTGTAAAGCACCCTGAGACGCAGGATATAATTCTGGTGCGGTATGTGTCTTTAAAAAATTAAATTTGTAATCAAAATTATATGATATACTTAAATTTTTACAACTATTGCTTCTATAAGAAAAACCACTTCCATATCGTAAAAAACAGGTCCTTTTAACATATTTTAAAATTCATTCCGTGTAGTGACGGATTAAGAATACGGAATGTCACTACCCCTATTCATCCCGTAGGTGTCGTAAGAGCCGACTAAGGGCGCAAAACAACGCATGATACCAGCACTGCAAAAAGAAGGAAAACTTGACACAAACCCTATACCAACCCGTCTGGCCAGCGTGGTATAGTAGGCCAAAACCTCCTTTCTAAGGAGAGGCCTATGTCCAGCAGTGGACTATTAAAGGCTGTTGATGTGATGTGATGTGTAAAATTCTAAAATATTTTTAACATACTTGCCCTTTGAAAATCATTAATGGCACAGTAACAACTAGCGACATATGCTTTTAGTTCCGTTCTCAATGAAATTGGTACCGTCTCAATTCGATTGACTTTTTTTGTGTTGATTACCACAAAACTGTGTCATTGGTGAACCGATTTAGATTTTTTTTTGGTTGTTTTTTTTTTAAAGACTATTTCCGGACTAGGAATAAATCCCGTGTCGTAGGGGACTTTAAAACATTCATGAAACGGACACAAAGAACAGTCCAACTCAGAACAACAATTTGAGGATCACACAAAGTGTTCTCCCGTGTAGGGATCGAACCCATAACAGTCAGCGTAGTAAGTAGCGGCAAGGTGACGGCTTAAATAAATCCGTGCAGTCAATTTGAAAAAACAATAAAAAATAGAATACTAAACCTGAGAGGGAAGTACGAGTATTAATTAATGAAGAACACAGCTCATTATTTTAAAAGCAAGGACTGAACTTACAAAAAAATACGTGAATATATTTAATACTAGCTGCGACCCGCGGTGTTACCCGCGTTTGTTGTTATAACCGCGGCCAACGCCGCGGGGCGAAGCTAGTCAAAAAAAAAGTAGCCTAAGTTACTCCTTATGTCATCAGCTATCTGCCAGTGAAAGTCCCGTCGAAATCGGTCGAGCCGTTCCAGAGATTACCCGGAACAAACAGACAGACAGACAGACAAAAATTGTAAAAACTGTTATTTTGGCCTTATTTTGGTTATGTACCGTCTAAACATACATATGCATTTAGTAAAAAGCGGTTATTTTAATATTACAAACAGACACTCCAATTTTATTTATTTGTATAGATAAAAAGCGGTTATTTTAATATTACAAACAGACACTCCAATTTTATTCATTTGTATAGAAGATAATTAAATAAATTAACGACGTAAATACCAAAATTTTGTAGGAAATTACGTTTTTGAACCGTTTGCGGTTGAGACGCAGTGGTCATGGGGTCCGAGTGCTGGTGATCTCTATCAACAACTAGCTAAGCAACTGATCGACGCTTCTCGTGATCAGAAGGCTTTTCTGGCCTTTTTCTAGCTCAGAGAATTAGCATTGCCATTCAACGTGGCAAAGCGTCTGGGAATGCTACCAGTAGGCAATGATGCGGTGGAATTTTTTGATGCTTGTTTGTAAGTAGTGTAAGTGTTGTAAATATTTTAATTGCAGTCTCTTGTTAATAATTATGTAATCTTGATAAGTATTTTAAATAAAGATATAATTAAAATTTCAAAAGTTATGCAAAGACTAATTTCATTTTTTATTCCTTCCATTACCAGTTTAGATTTACATTTCAATGTTTGCTAGCATTTTCTTGTAGGCGTTACTTTTGTCGTCGTTCGCGTCGTGTCGTGGCGTAAGAACCTAGTTTTTGTTGCATGTAGGTAAAAGATTGCATAATTTCAAATGCAATAGTAGCAAATACTCCTAGTATTTCTAGTACTAATCAAATTATAGTATATTCTAGTATGTTTAGTGGTTTAAAAACCAAAGTTTCATTTACTACTATTGTATTGTACTAGTCCGTGTCGTGACGGATTAAGAATACGGAGTGTCACCACCTTTATTGATCCCGTGGGTGTCGGTGTGTGTAAGAGCCGACTAAGGCAGTAAACTATGCAGGACAACAACACTGTAAAGAGAAGGAAATTTTTACACAAACCCTATACCAACAAGTCTGTCCAGCGTAGTATAGTAGGCCAAAGCCTTCTTTCTAACGAGAGGCCTATGTCCAGCAGTGGACTATTAAAGGCTGTTGGTGATGATGATTATGTTGATTTACTAGTGTACTATTTCAGTCGGTAATACTTTTCTTGTGAATCTACTAATTATTGCTAATTCTTTGCTATAGGCGCGGTTATTATAAAATAACGAATAAATAAAATCATGATTCATTTTTTTTGATAAATAAATTAAAAGAGATAAAGCAGTTTTTATTAGCAGGTCGTTTTACAAACGAGGAAAAGACCTTGGTTTCATGTTAAAAAAAAAAAAAAAAAAAATTTACCAAAAATTACAGATTTTTAAAAAATCAACCATTACGAACACCATAACTATACATAAAACAATGAAACATTCACAGCATGACTTACTTCCGTGCACCATGTAATAATAATAATATGAAATTTTTGGACAGCTGACACACAGCGCCATCTAGTTTCAAATTAAGCAGAGCTTGTACTATGAAAGCTAGATTGACTGATAAAAAAACACCCAAACTCCGAAACAAATATTTGCGGATAATACAAACATATGGTCCGAACCGGGATTTGAACCGGACACCTCAGCACAGCAGTCGCTACCACTGCACCACCGATGCAGTACAAGGAATTTACTTCACTAATACCTAATATGTAAGTAGATTTATAATTTAGTAGTGTTACGAACTCTTTTTCGGCTGTCTCGTGGCTAAGCTAAAACCGAATAGGTTAGCACATTGCAAAGTCAAGCAATCATATCCAGGTGAGTCTTTAGATGGGTGATCATTTTTAACACATTGAGAACCCGGAGTGCCTCGCTCCCGGTAGCCGTAAAAACACCAGTGACCATTGGTACGGTAGTTAGAGCACAAAGTCCGACAATAATCTATTTACAGTACTTCGATATCGCCTGGTCCGTGTAGTGACGGACTAAGAATACGGAGTGTCACAATCTCTATTTATCCCGTGGGTGTCGTAAGAGCCGACTAAGGGAGCAAAATACGCAGGACAACAGCACTGCAAAGATAACTAAAACTTGATATAAAACCTATACCAACCCGTTTGGCCAGCGTGGTATAGTAGGCCAAAACCGTATTTCTAAGGAGAGGCGTATGTCCAGCAGTGGACTACTAGAGGCTGTTGATCATAGGACCACTACAACCCAAGTACTAGGGTTCTTGGATCGTGGTGGTCTTTTGGCTGTCACTTCAAGTAAAAAATCGAAATTCAGTCGTGTCGTAGTACCCTGAAAACCGACCACATCCTAATTTGATGTTACCAACTGAT